CGGTACAAGGGACCGGTTGACATAATCGTATTCTACAATGCTTGCTATTTCGCGACTTTTCATATTCAGTCTCGGGTTACAGAAGGCGTGCACGGGGCGCGATCTTACTTTGGAAATGTGTCTGTCGCCCTGATTGATTCATTGCTGAATGATGGGGCGGAGTTTCAAACATCCTGTCTTCTTCTGCGATCGCGGACTATCAATGTGGTGATCGGCTGTCGATATATGCGATAAAACTGCGATGCGGATGATAGGCGCCGGGCAGACGAACACGTGCCTCAGTGTACCAAGCAGGTACTGGCGGAATGATTAATAACCGCCGCCCAGCCCGCTGATTACCTCATGTTAAATCAAAACGACCTATCGTACGTCTTTCTCCATCATCGCATCATAAATGGAGGGCAATAAAACCTATTCGAGCGTCTACGAACATCGATAGTCATTAAAAGCGGCGGAGATATTTCTCAACGCCCGATGATTTGTTCGCATTAGTGTCACGTAGCCCATTCTTTTTGGCTCCGTTTAGAGTCAAGAGCTCATGAGCGGCTGTCATGCGAGCTCGTCACGCCCATGGTGTTTGCGGCCCTGTATCAGTATTCGAAATATCGTGTCTCGTCTGCCTCACAAACGATGGATGTTTTGGCTACGCAAACTGGCATGATCTACGTTCGGACATGCGAGCTTAGCTATCGTCACAAGGCTTTGATTTGCGTTTCCTACTCCTGGCTAAGATTACAGCACCGCTATTTGAGGGCTTTGAGGGTTTTTTGATTGCCTGCGTTACTCTCAAAAGATAGGGCTTGAAACCGCAGTGGTGCGAGGGGTTCTGGAAGAATTCGTCTTGATGACCGTCTATTTTGGTTATGCAGGGAATATTGAATAGGTATATTCGGTGGCGTTACGAATCGATAATCGATGTTTGATGGCAGTGGTGAAGCCCTAATTGTCAGCTTATTGGATAGCATTTGTCAGCCACCAATCCCCCATGGGGCAGGGGCGGTTCCAGTCCTTAGGCTCTGCAGAGCAATAGGAGTGGTTGCTACGCCAGACTCATTCGCCGGCCAACATTCATAGTGAATTTGATCAAATTTATATTGAAACCAATAGATGTACCTATTTAATTTTTAAATTAGTTTTATCATGCTTCGGTAAAAAAGTTTTATCATTCCAAATTTTCGGACTTAATCATCAAAGATCTTATTTATTTCGTTTCGTTTATTCAGGTAATAGGTATATCATCGGTGCTTTGCTACTATCACTTTCACCTTCTCACAATTAAGCCTGCTGCACTGCATTGGTTAAATGCGTCACTTTATTAAGGCAATCTGCAATCAATGTTTCCATCAGCAGGTCTCTTTTGTGCTACCGAAAAATGTCAACTCTTATCTGCCGATCGGCATTTTCATTGACGCTGCGCAGCCCAATTGTTTTAAATGCCATTGAGCAGCCTTGCTGTCGGCTCCTGTTCAAACGAAAGTGCAAGGCCGGTTCGAGTGGCGCGTCGACCGCGCATACCAATCATTTCCCGACCATGCACAGTCGGAGAGAGCTCCCACACCCTCTCGTCATTGGGTCAACAGACGCTCTCCGGGTAGTGCTGTGTACCCACCGCCTCCCCTCTGCGTGTGTTCAGACGGATCCTCTCCAGGGGCCGCCCCCACTCAGGAGTCCCCGAGCCGTGACCGAGGTGGTTAGCAGTCCCAAACATGTGAGGCTGAGTACTCTGTGGGTCAGACTATACGGAGGGGCCTTCAGTAGTCCCCGAGTGACCCCGGCCCTTGGGGACCTCACGAGAGTGGCTGGCATGGGACGGCGATCGCGCTAATCCCTGATTCAGCGCTGTGCAGTCACACGAAAAGGCCGATACACGGCACTTACGGCGGCATTTGGTCGCGACATGGCTGCTAGCACCTGGAGAGAGACCCAGAGAGACGACAGGAGTGCCCGAGAGTAATCGCCGGTGGTGTTTTTATTCTGCAATGGCCGGTGTCTTGACGTCAGTATGTGTCTGCCGCGCTGGGGACTGTCATGGTACCGGCACCATCGTGGGTTGCCCGCCGTTTGTCCTGTCATGACAGGTGTCAGGACACGGTGACACCGGACTTGAATAACGACCCGCCTGGTGACACTGCCTGACATTTACCCCGCAGAAACACGTATTTTGGTGCAGTGATAAGTTATGGCCACTCATGACACCACATGGCACGTGTCTTGCAGAGCACTCTAAGCACTTAATCTTAGCTAAAGTGTGCGGAACGCCATGTTCCCAGTTGGTGGTGGTCGGCGCTTCTCCGGACTGCACACTGAAAACTTTTTTACCATTTCCTGAAGGGTAAACCCGCCATAGCATGGTAGCTTGACACACAGACGTTTTTTACCACCTTCCAGATGGTAAATTTTACTCTTTCATGAAGAGTAAACTCGCCAGGGAGGGGTAACATGACACACAGACGTTTTTTACCATCTTCTGAATGGTAAACTCTTTTGATTTACTCTTGTCTAGAGTGTAACATTTTTTGGGTTACACTCTTTGAAAGGGTAAATCTTTAACGGAACCCTTTTTTAGGGAGTAACGCATCATCTACTCTGTGCTTTACCCTCCTACAGAGAGTATATTCTTATGGCCTACCCTTTGTCACATGGTAATGTTTACTCTTTCCTTTAGTGTAAACCCCCCAGAGGATGGTAACAGACCCACAGACGCTTCCTTCAGAAGCTTCACGAAGCTTCTGTTAACCGGATCTCACCAACTAAAAAAAAAAATGTTTCAAGAGCAACAATGTAGGTATATTTGGCTTCCGTACAAACAATACGAGGGGCACACCAACCATGAACATTGTGAGACTCTTCACTTATTCATACAAATTTATACAAAGCGTTCAGCAATGCACAAGCGGTAAATAAACAACACGATACAACTTGAATGCAATTTGAATATGAATACAAGACATTCAGCGCCCTCATATTGGATTAGGCAGAGCGCACAATATTTGAAGTGAGCGACGGCGTTCCTGGGTGCAGGTCGCCCGTCTGCGTGAGATAATGAGACTGGATCACTACAGTGCAAGGCTTTTTCAAAGTCACCAACAAAATGCATAAACTTGTAGCATCACAACAAAATTAATGTACGTACTCACAACACTAGGCCACGTGGCCGTGCACGGGGTCCTGTTAACCAGGTCAAATTAGCACCACTCAACGGCACGCAATGCTCTAGCACATCGGTACTTACAATAAAATGTCCACAGAGGCTCTATAGGCGATGAACAACACACAAGCACAATCACCAACGGCCACGCCGCGCGGCACCGACACTGCTCACATCCGCTCTCGGAGACCAACGGCCGAAAACTGACAGATGCGCGCGGCCTTCAAACCGCAAACGGCCGATCTCGTTTCTGATTGGCTGATTGTTTCCATTTCAAATATCATCTTCACGAGGGTAAACAAGATCCACGCATGAAACGACTATCTGTACCCGAGTCACGATACCCAGGAGGAAAGAGTTTTCGTGATTTTCTGGATCGCGAGAGTAATATTGATATTTACATGGTAATAATACTCTTCGCTGGCGAATAAGTTCATATTAACCACGTACCGTTACTATGAACATAATGGTAGCAGCGAGTTACCCTTTCAATATACTATTATCTTGCGGGTTTGATGAAAATGAACTCTCCAGGAGGTAGTAAAAAAGTTTTGAGTGCAGACAACTAACTCGGCGCTACTCTCTGGCCTCGCACACCGCTCAGACCTGTCACAACTGTGGCGTTCGGCCATAAAGCTCCATCAGTGTCCGGCCGGCTCGTTGCAGACCTGTCTGTAGCCCGGGCGCTGTCCCAGTCCGTCTGAGCTTCGCCCGTGTCCCGTCCCGAGTTAATCTCTCGTCACTGCCTGGGCTGTGCTCGGCGGCGCCCGCTGCAGTGAGAGTGCACGACCTTGCACGCGACAGACGGCCGGCGGTTAGAGCGCCGCCCATGACCTCCGAACAGCGCCGCGGCCGTCATCGGCAACTTGGCGACGCCCAGTGATGGGCGGGCTGGACGGCCGGGCACTCCTCCAGGTCGAGCTGAACATTATGCGATTCTCGCGATCGTGAATGCATGAAGTAGACGTCTGATGTTCGGCCGGAATAGGCTCTCTGTTCTTCACAGCTACTAAGTTTTCTGACTGGTGATTCATCATTGAAGGACTCTATAGCTTTCACACTCATCGGTAGCTGGGGATGGTAGTTTTGTTAATGCTGGCGCCTGTCTGTCCGTTTACCTGATTCCGAACAGTTGCCGAGCGGCCTGCCAAACCACAGGCTAGATCGAGGAAGGTGATAGCGGTATAACACGATCGCGGAAAACGACGTCAATCGGCGCCCATCGGCACGGGCCAAAACAGCTACAACATTGCCAGAAAGAGGCCCGTTCGGCTGAGCTCGTGAACATTTTTAACCGAACGGGCATCGGCGCTTCGGGGCGAGGCGTTGCGGCGGAATTTTCAGCTTCATGCCTTGTAAATGTGGCACAGTTTCGTATAAAACGCTGTCATACCTGTGCCGAACACCGTAAAGGAAAGGTGGGCAGCGCCCTTCACCAGACATTTGAAGGGCGCCGCCTACCGTTTCATGAAACCGGGCGCCCCGAACGGACGGCGCCGAGTTCACGGGAACGGCCAGGCCGCGGCGGCGTCACATTGAAGGGCCTGTCACGCGTGCTCGGCTCGACACGCGTCATTGCTCAGTAACCGATCATGCCCCGAGTGGTGTTCAAGAGGATTAGGCTGTAAGTGCGCACGCGTGCCGCATTAACATGCTCATTACGCCATAGTTAATCACGTAATAATCTCCTTGTAGGAGCAGTCTTAGTTGATGATTTAATTGCCTAAAGGTTTCCCGCAATTTCATAATGCTTGTCGTGGCGCGGTTATACCGAGCGTTTTTCCATGGTAACTAGCTGGACCGCTTTAGCGAACATGCTGTTCATGTTTCTAACATACGTCTCTTTCCTCAGATTCTGCGCAACCACGTGATGGTTCGTGTCGGCGGTGGCTGGGACACTCTGGAGCACTACCTGGACAAACACGACCCGTGCCGCTGTAGATCAGGTAAGACCCGACCGTCTGCCACCCGTTCCTAACCCGCCGGTCACATGTGCCATCGGCGCGGGGTCCCACTGACCGACCGGGCAGGCCGGGCGCCGGGCTGCACAGCGCGGACGGGCGCGTCGGGCTGGGTGGGAACGTTTTGCGGTGAAATCTGACAGTGACAGGCACAAAGCCGCCGACGCTCCCGTTCTGGTCCAATCCGATAATGACGCCCATCGGACCGACAGACGACACCGGGCAACGCCGCTGTTTTTGGTGCGTCGCACCCCGCCCGGCGCACAGCGCTCTTTGTGCCGGTTGCATGCGTGTCTCGCGGGCGACGCGGTGTTTTAGCAGGAGTGCTGACATCCCCCGCGCGCCGCGGGGTAAGTAATTAGGTGGTTTCGTGCTTTGTCGCCCCTGATGACCCCTCCCATCCCCCGGTCAACACCGTTGTTGGGCCTTGTCAGCCGTCACCGTGCGGGCCCGCAGGGCGCCCCTGTCGTGTCCCACTTACGTTGATGCACTGTCCGCCGCTGCAACCATGCATGTAACGCCCAAAAATCAGATTAGTCCACCATCCCATGCAATGGCGTGGATTTTGTGCTGGATGGGCGGAACGGCTGTGTGCCTCAGTTCAACGATAACTTTCCGGATCGGATGGACTCACATTCCAATCTCCGCCTTCTCAAAATGAACGGCACCTCGGTTCCGAGCCTGTTTCGCGCAGTCCTCCATGTCCGTTCGCCCCCGGTCCTTCACCACCGGTCGGCTATGCAGATTCGATCTGCATGTGATGGGCGATGTTCCGGTGGGGGTGGGTCGGCACCGGGCGCAGCGCGGCGGGCCCGCCGGCCGGATGGCCCATTACCGAATGAAATGTGGTGCAGTACCGACGGCCGCGGGCTGAGTTCGCTGACCCGCTGATTGTCAGCGCTGACCCGCGGGCGCTGCCGGCGCGTGGCTCGCCCGCGGCGGTGCTAAATGAGCCTCCAGTTCGGTAAAACTCGTGGGAGATTGATGAGCGGTGTACTGCCTCACGCAGAGACGGCAGCTCAATCAGGAACATGGTGTCAGCACTAGATCAGCGCGTCACCCTCGCGCCGATTGAAGACAGCCGATGTGTCAAACATTTATCGTGTCACCGGTTACGCGAATCACAGTCGGTGCTGCTGTAGCTGTCTTTGTCAGAGCTAAGTCGATAATGTCGACGGGATGATAACGTTAGCTTGCTCGCGTGTGCTCTGAATGTTGCTGATATACGCACATGTGTATCCCCTTGTCTGCAGTGATGGCGTCAGCTGGTTCCCAGTATGTGACACGTCTTTCTCCCTTATCTCCAGGTCACCGGGCGGCCATAGCGTCACGTTTGTTCATGAAGCCGGGCACACACGACGGAGAGAGGCAGCTGTCGGCCGTCAAATACGAACGGTGAGTGACCCGGGGCGAGCGGGAGCGGTGCCAACACTGCACTTCTATCATAATCGCAGGCCAATATGTCTGCTACTCGCTCAAAGGATTTCGATTATTAGAAAACGCAATGCGAAAGCAGACCATAAATTATCGATAGTGCTTCAAAGAAGTAACTAAATCGGTTTGAACTTGGAAGTTATGAATGTTATTCATTACCACAGCGTCCGATCCATTTCCAGTCTCAGGACAGTGACTGATAGCGCTGTGGTATGGGCGATGACCGACCCAGACCCCGCCCCTCCCTCCTGGTCAGTGACCTGCGTTGCCCCGATTGCTGTGCGTATGTGCCGCGGACTAACGACTTCGATAAGGAAACAGGCCAGTCGATTTGTCCACATGTTCGGGCCAGATACCGACGGAGGCTGAGCACCCGCTTGTCAGAATGCCGCGTCCAGAGGCGTGTGATACGATACAGATAAGATGCGTCGTCAGAATACCGCCCGCGCTGAGGGGAGTGATCCGGACCCCAGCCCCGGCGGCTTCGGGTCAGTGGCGCCGTCTAAATTAGCCGACGGATGTTGACTCACATTGCGGCGGGAGTTCAAAGGAAAGCCACGCCACCCGGTCGGTTCGACTCACAGCCCCAACACTCGAGCTATAACACGTCAGTGCTAGCGTCAGTCATCGGAGACGTCTAAATCGACCCGAGGAGCCCTTCCGTTCCGCGATCATGTTGAAGCATTACGGGGCACCACGATGACCGTTTTCGTCGATATCACTTCAGGTGACTCACTAACACAAGTGTGAGTCTAACAGCCGAGCTTTGGTACCTCCTCTGAATGCATAAGGACACCATCTGGTAAAATTCCCAAACTAGAAACATTCATTTGTTATCCTGCCGGGAGAGAACAGTCATTTCTCACTGAGGGCGGCTCTGGCGGCGGCACGTCACCTGCAGCAGCGTCGAGACCGATCGACGATCGTCTCTGCGCGCCGGGCGCCGGTACAAATGACGCGCCGTCACCTCTCTCTAGTCCGGGCCCGACACGGCGTCATTAGCCGGCGCTGCGCCGACACACATCTGCCGGCACCGCGCGCACTGACGCCGCCTCACAACACCGGTGCCGCTGTCGCGCCACCCCGCGCGCCGCGCGCTGTAAACAACGTCACCCAGTTCCGCGGGGGAGACGGGCCATTTTTAGACGATGATGAGCGGCGACACCCCGATCCGGAAGCAGCAGTTTCGGGGAGACATGGCACAAGGTGTTGGCTGTAGACATGGCGCCGGGCGATGAATGTAGCCAATAGCCATGACACAGAGGCCTAGTATTGCTAGGTCTAGTGGTTCTTGGAAGCAGTTTAACATTCAGCAGAAACGCTGTTTATGTTAATAAGCAAAGCGTGCGAAAATATAGCTATACCCCATAACCTTCAGGCGCTTTGCCTTTCTTGCCGACACCTGTACAAACTAGAGCACATGGACGGACAGTGCTCAATACCTTTCCAGCCTGTTTCAAAGACCGCTGTCTCTCGTACCTCCCTTTGTCGCGTCCGAATCACTATCTCCACGCCACTCACTAACCCGCCTCTACCCTCACCCACAGACTGGACGGCGACAACAACGACGTGGGCGGCAGCCCGGCACTGCGCACGCCCATCAGTTTCCGCGGCTCGCCGGCACTGAGGAGACCGTCCCAGCTCAGCGCGCCCGACAAACGTCTCTACGAGGAGGTGTCTGGCGACTCGAGTTCCGAGGTCTCCGACGAGGGCTACCGCTCCCAGGGTCACTGGAAGGGAGCACACTCGCTCAAAGGGGCAGATAATATTGGTGAGTACGGAGGGCTATCATTGTACTAAATACATATGTGTGTTGAGCAGTGTCATGATTTTGAGCTATTTATGGCGTTGTATAGAGGTACGGTCAGATAATCTTGCAATGTGTTTCAGTATAACTAAAAAAGAACGATATGCATTGCAACGGAGAGCAGCATTTGACAATTACCTGCCTGTGCTTCCAACGCAGGTCTTAAGCAATCCAAGCGTCCATAGGACAAACTCAGCCGTAAGTAAAGTAAATGTATTATTTCACTAGCACTACAGGTTGAACCTTGGCTTTTTGTTCCCCCTGCCTTTGCGGCGTTTGGGCCCGGCTTTGGCGGCTGAAGCTGCACGCCGCTTCTTCCCACCAGCCACGGGCAGGCGGCCCTCGAGCGCCGACAGGTCAGCCCGCTGGGTGAGCTCCTCGCCCAGCGACCAGTCGGTGGTGAGCTCCCTCTTCCGCCGCTGGTCCTGCTTGGTCTCCGGCAGGCGCACCATGAAGTCCTCCTCGTACTTGGTGCGCTCGGCCTCCTCGCGCGTGCTGCGGTTGCGGTAGGTGTCGCTGTAGTCGTGCACCTCCTCCGGCGTGTCCAGGTACTGGCGGCCCAGTTCCTGCATCACTGAGCTGCTGAGCGCGCGCCGCCGCGCCGCCGCCAGTCGCCGCTCCTTGCGCGACTCGGCTGTCTCGTCGCCGTCGTAGTGGACCGCCGTGATCTTGGGCGGCACGTACACCCCCTCCTTGGCCTTGCCCGGTTTGCCGGCGGCGCTGTCGGCCTCCTGGTCGCTGTCACTGGCCTCGTCTCCCTCCAGTCGGCTGGCGAGGTTACCCGGCTGCGGCCGGAACCGGAGCGGGTCGCTCTCGCCCAGCTGACCGGTGGTGGCGATCCGCACCAGCTTGTCCACCTGGTAGCGCAGCTTCTGGTCGATGGGCCGGATACGCTCCAGGACCGTGCGCAGCTCCACCAGGCGCTCGATGCCGGCGTCCCCGGCGATCGACTTTCCGTGTAGTTTCAGGGACATCACTCGCGCCAGGTCCACCAGGTAACTGAGCAGCAGGCTGTTCTTCATCTCGAGGAAGCTGAGTCCCTGCGCCGTGTCCAGCTGGCCGTCCTTCACCTTCGCCGTCAGCGCCGTCACCAGCGAGCTCGCCTTGCCGAGGCCGTCCGTGAGGTCGGCCAGCAGTGTGTTGGCCCTCGCCACCTCCCCTTCGGGTGGTTTACTGTCGGTCATGTCTGAAACAGAAGACATGTGCTCGTTAGAGATGGTTTATACTTTGGTTCATTCATATTCACAGAACATGGTAAGCTGCTTTCAGGAGTTAATCGAGGAAACGCTGGCTGCTGCCTGCTATTGCTATGCAGTCACACATCACGCACAGCACGTGTGAATTCTCATAAGCGCTAATTCGCGCCAGATTTTTTTGCAAGCTTGCTGACTGGCTGCTTATCTCTTTTTCAGACCGCCCTGAATCGAGTCTCACGCACTCATCGACGGAATCCAGTGACCCGACCACGGAGCAGCCCATATCGCCGACCACGCCCACCACGCCGACCGCGCCCTGGCCCGATAAGCCCGCCAAGTCGCGCCGCTCCTTCATGGACTCGGCGCAGCGCATGATCAAGAGCCTACGTCCGCCCAAGGCCTCGCCGACGCCGACGCCGACGGCCGCCACGCCGCCGCCGGCGCCGACGCGTCGCCTGTCGTCGGACTCTTTGCGCCGCGGCGGTCTGCAGCGGAGCCAGTCGGGCGGCAGCGAGGCCGGCCTGCGCGCCTCGGTCCGCTCCAACCGCGCCAGCGAGGCGCGCCTGGCCCGCTGCGGCAAGAACACGTGGAGCGGCGGCGGCGGTCGGCAGCGCGAGCGGCCCGCGCTCGGCGCCGACACGTTCCGCGCGCCGCCGCCCAACCGGGCCACCTCGGCGTCGCCGGGACCGCGCCGGCGCGCGCCGCCGCAGCCGGCCGCCAGCCCGGCGCCGCGCCGCAAGCACAGCCACCTGCTGGCCGACCTGATGGACGACCCCGAGCTCGACGACGACGCCAAGGTGCTGCAGAAGATGGAGGAGCTGGTGCGCCAGTACAAGCCGTTCCTGGCGCAGCGGCAGCGCGAGGTCGAGGGCCTATCGCCGCCGGCGCCCTCAGTCACCCCTCCGGCGCCGGCGCGGGTCACTCCGCGCAAGGAGTCCGGCGCCGGCACGGCCAAGTCGCGCATCCCGGCGCCCACCTTTTTCCAGCAGACGCGCTCGCCGACCGAGACGTGTCTCTGAAGTGTCCATTCCGCCGCGAGTTGTGATACCGTGTGCCTGAATCTCGTGAGCGACTGGGGCCCGCCGCGCCGACAGCGCCACCTGCGCGGGCGCGGCGGACCCGGGACCGCGGCCCAGCAGCCAACAGCGGCCCCATGTTGCGACGGGAGATGATGTGTGCAATAGGTGTGTGCTTTTTTAGACGCATGGTCCCAGCGCGATCGGCGTGGCAAAGAGAGCTAACCTTGTACTTGTTTTAGAATGTGTATAGTGTTGTTATGAAGTTTGTGTTGCCCAGAGTGTCCGCGCCAGGTCGGACGGATCTTTTATATGTATCTGTACATAGCTTACGATGAGTTGCAAATGCAATTTCACTGCCTCGTCTCACAACACTCGTTTCTCTTGCACTCCAATCTGTTGTCTTTTCTGAAAGTTTTTTTTTTATAGTTGGCATGTTAAACAGAGAAGGCAATAACTATCACTGGTGCCCGCTATAACTGCACATAGGCTGTTCCTGTCACCTATCGCTGTCCCTGTCTTAGTAGGAGATATTAGGGATATGTAGAACACCAGGCGTCGTTTTCTCACCACGCGGGCATGTCCAATACCAGACGACAATAAGGCGAGGTGCGCCGCCCGCTGTGCGCGACGTGTCAACTATTCGGTTTGCGGGTACATGGTGAAAGAGGGCTGAGACGAATCGAGTGTGTGTGTGGACGCGAGCATTCAGCCGATCCGGCGGTGCTCATTATCTGTGATTTGGCATAATGGCAGCTGCTGGCACGCGGCGCCGGGCTGAGGGGCGGCACGCTCCCACCTCTGTGCAACGAGGGGCAACGAATGTGGAACGAATCGCGAGACGGTGGGATAGTATAATCGCATTAGCCGGGGATGTGTCCGTTCAGTTATTAAGACGTTGCTTGCTGCCATTGATCAAACTGTAAGATGTGTACGGGCCGGTCGCACAACGGCCGATGTTATGACCCTTCGTTACTGTATATGCTGGGAACAATGACGTTCGCGTAGTGGCTGAGCGTAACCGTCCGATAATAATCATTGTTCGCCGTTAATAAACAACCAAACCCTCTGACGGTGTCTACATAGACGCAGCCTGGAAAAGACGCAGAAGCCATTTCACTAATGGGATATGTATGTTTCACCTTCATAAGCAATGCTGCAATATAGTAGGTACACTTCCAAGTTGCTATACCTAACTTACTCATTCTGGCAGCTTATCCAGCCAAAGGCCAGCTCCCATGCACGAATGAGCGCAGATGAGCCTGGGTTAAGTAAACACGAAAAATTGAGAATGCGCACCCAAGATACCTGCGGGAGGGTCAATATTATCCCTACCAGCTTTAATGTCGGAAAAAGAATAAAGAGGCGATGAAGAAGGTGATGAAGAACGATTAAGAATTACATAGTTCTATTCAAGGCCCTAGTTCTATTAACAACCACTCAGAGTTTGTCTTATTTGGCCAATTAAACGTTAGGAAAAGATCACTCTAATCACGTTAGTGCATGTGCAACGATGCGCAAATGTTCACACAAATGTGCGCCCCATCATTATATTTGGAAAATTATTGAATGCCCTCCTAAGTCCTACTTGATGAAAAAAATCAACTCCATAAGATAAACTACCGGTTAGGTTAAGCCAGCCCCCGTTCACGAGCTCCAGAATCCCTTTACCGTGACGTCACCACGGTGCCTTTATTTCCCTAGTGAACCAACCTGAGTAGTAAAGGAATCTTGGGTTAAGCTAGCTTAGGTTATGTGACTACGATACAATGTTGATACCATTCGTGGTGGAGTCGCACGAACACGTAACAGTTGCACTTCAACTCGCATACCTACCCCATGACACCCTTGGAGGCAGGAGGGAACGACACGCTTCACTGGTTATTTCAGGGAAATCAATAGTAATGTTTCCCGTTCATATTGGCAACTGGTCAGATGAAAATGCATCAAGTCGTCGTCGATCGTGCTTTCCAATTAGCCGACACGCATTCAAAGACCATTTTCATCGCATTCCCCTTTGTATTGCATTACATCTTTCACGTCCACCCGAGCATTTATATCAATTGAACATCACAGTTCACTGAATCTTCTCACGTCTGTCAAGGTAACGCCATCACGACCAGTTGCCTCTCAGCAGCTGCAGCACATGGGCCAAAGTCGGTAGTGTATCACTACCCGCCCGCCCATGTGGACACCGGGCGAAATGCGGCGGCAGCAACAATAACCAACAACGACCCAGACTTCCATTTTCGGCAGCATACGACACATCGAGTTCATACAGCGGCCAATGGGCAGCGGTACGAACGCTGACCAGTGTACAACTTCCAAGTGGATACTGAATGAGTAACATTGAATGACGAACGTCTCAGGTATGATCATGCAAATTGCAATGCGTTATCAAATTTAACGCACGGTACTAAAATGTTAGTCAAACTGACCCATAATTGACGGTGAATGAAACCACAGTATAGTTATTTTATATGCCCTTTCTCAGGTAACCATGCATCCCTCAGAGCATCGTCAGCACATGCCTCACAACATGGGACTAGTACAAAATACCTGGCTGACTTTGAGCCACTAATTCTCCTAATAAAACGAGTCCAGCAGAAGGCGGCCGTGACAGGCGGGTGAACGTCACTACTTTCCCTCCGGCTACTGGGATCGACTCGCCGACCGCTGCGCCAGGCGCCACCTGCCCACCGCCTGCCGGTCAGAATTCGGACCTGGCCGGCGGGTTAGATGGCACTCACTACCTTCCAGTCACAGCTACTGAGGTAGACTCGCCTACCACTGCGCCGCCCGCCCGCCGCCGGCCGGCCCGCTCCTCTCGTCACCTATGTAGGTGTCGCCACTGGCGGTCCGGGCGCTCCGTCACACAATGTTCTGCTCATACAGCGGCTGGTTGGCCAGCACGCGCTCGAAGCCCATCCGCGTGAGGTCGATGGTGCGGTACTCGCCGTCTAGAATGTGCTCGGTGATGGCTCGGCCGACTGCCGGCGCCTGCTGGATGCCGTGCCCGCTGAACCCAGTCGCCATGAACAGGTTATGGTGGTGTGGGTGCGGGCCGATGATGGCATTCTGATCCAGCGTGTTGTAGTCGTAGTAGCCGGCCCAGGCGCTCTTCACCTTGAGGTTCTCGAAGGAGTGGACTCGGTGCGCCAGGTGGTGCCACACGTGCGACTGGAAGTAGTCGTAGTCGACGTCCAAATTGTCTGCCGACGGCTCCGGGTCGTCGGCGGTCCCCGTCGGCGACTTGCCGCCGATGTAGTGGCCGCCGTGGCCCTCGCGTCGGAAGTAGGCGCCGCTGGGGTCGATCAGCAGCGGACAGTCCAGGCCGGGCCCGTCCGGCGAGTGGTAGAAGTAGACGTAGCGTTTGCGCGGCTCCACCGGCACAGGAGTGGCCAGCAGCCCCTCGCCCTCACCGATCCCCGCCAGGCGCGCCACCTGGGCCGTGTTAGCGCCGGCCGACGCCACAAATATGGCAGCCTTCACCGTCTTCACGTCACCGTTCTTCAGTCGTATGACGGCCCGGTCCAGCACGTAGTTCCCGCCAGCCACTGACTGTTTACCCATGCTCTGCATGTTTGGCACGTACCGCGACTCGAACCCAGCCGCCTCACCCTCTACGAACTCGGCACCCAGCTGAATGGCCTTCCGTCGGAACGCGCTGAGCAGTGCGTGCGGGTCGAACCAGCCCTCGTTCTCCTGGCCGTGGCAGGCGAGCGCCACGCCGTCCGTATTGATCCATGGGAAGCGCTCCTTGAGTCGCGCAGGCGTCATGAGCTCCATCTTGGCGCCGTTCTCCATCTGGGTGCGATAGTTCTGCTCCAGCAGTTCGGCTTTCTCCGGACTGGCGCACATCAGGTAGCCGTGCGGATGGAACTGGATCGCCGGCGGCTCGTCGCCCTCCACAGTCAGAAAGCGGTCCGCGTTGCGCAGGAACTGCGCCGAGAACATGGACATCTGGATGTTCTCGGGCAGTGAGAACTGCTGCCGCAGACCGCCGACCGACAGCGGCGTGGACGCGGTGCGGTATGTCGAGTCGCGCTCGACCACCACCACCTGCACGCCGGGACCGGCGCGCAGCTTCAGCCAGAACGCGATCGCCGAGCCCATGATGCCGCCGCCAATGATGCACACGTCGCAGTGACTGGGGAAGAAGGTGCGGCTCTTCTTGCCCTCCCAGAGGAAGCGCATGTCGTCCGAGAAGATGCGCGCCGCCCGCTGGAACGGGTCCTCCGGCGGCGGCGCGCGCTCCCGTCTGATGGGCTCCGTCGGTGTCGGCGGCGGCTGCTCGTCGGCGCCGGCGGCCCGTCGGACGGCGGCGGTGGTGTGCAGCTGCCGGGCCACGAGCCGGCCGGCGCGCGCGCTGAGGCTCAGCATGGTGTCGGCGCGGCGGGCAGGCGTCCTCGGGGCTGCCGGCCGGCCAGCTGCGGCGGAGACGGGCCGTTACTCAGAGCGGTGACGGCACACCTGCAGGCCGGCCGGCCGGCAGTCCGCCCGGCTCCTCCCACACACGCCACCAACACAGCGCCACCCATTACAAACACAAACGTAAACGGTACAGGGGGCAAATTCAATGGCGAGTGAACAGCCAGGCAAACCATCATTACACACACAAAAAGGAGCATAATATGACTTGTAATCATAATCAGCTCAATATGTGAATTGCGAATTATCATTGCATGAACGCTTTGTAAAAAAAAAAAAACAAGATTGCTTATGGTATGCGATTCCCTCTCTTTTCTAAAACACCTTAAAAACATTACTTTCACCGATCTACAGTGCCAGACTGACGCCTGTTGACAAATGTAATCATGATCAGCCGGCTGGGCGGTAGCCCGCCCAGTCCGTCCCGTATTCGCCAGCCGGACCGTGCAGCAATCCGCGAGCTGGCAAATGCCAAACGTATATGGTTTTAAATGTGTTTAGCAAATGTGCCACGCATTTCGTGCGTCAATAAAAAAAAAATGTAACGTAAAAAGACGACCCCGGTCCCATGACATGAACAGTCGTTTTGACGACGTTAATAAAGCCATGAGTGACCAACCGATTGATGATAGCTTAATGGGAATCGGATCTTCTTTCCTGCGAAAGTGATATACTTGATCCTATGGTGGAAGATTAGAATCCCATTTTACACGCTAGCTGCACAACGGCAAATGTAAATGACGCCCCAAGGCAGTTTTTGAAGGATCAGTTTTTTTCACCAATGCTCCTAATTCAACTGAGTTAGCATCTGCAAAAATCGTCGAAAAGTTCAAAACAATCCGTCCAATGGACGGCTTCCTAATTCAATAGCCTGCCCTTAACGAAGCTGAGCTAACCCGCGCGGGGCTGGGGTCTCCAGCCGAACGCGCGGGGCTGGGGGAGGGGGGCAAATTTTACCCCCCCCCCCCCTGTAATCTCCCGAACTAATGGTCCGATTCGGAAAATTCAAACGCAAATCGAAAGATCTCATCACGAACAACTAATAACATGCACTTAATTTAAAGTTTGAGGTCAAGGTCAAGGTCAGGTCAAGGGTACAAGTTGTTTCTTTCTACAGTATCGGCCTTGCACCGTAGTTGCCGAAGAATGGAGACATGGACTGAGACTGATTGCCCAAAACGTGTTCTTAGGCTACCAAGACAATATTCGTTGCATACAATATCATTCAGAGGTCAAGGTCAAGGGTCAGGTCAGGTCAGGTCACCAAAAACAAAATATAGAAAAGGGCATGTGCCACACACGTTTTATGGGTCATTTTACTCATAGAATTCAATAGGCACACTCAATAAGTGATATGGACCACCTCTGGAAGAATTTCAGGTCGAGGTCAGGTCAAGGTCAGGTCAAGTGAGGTCAAATTTTGAAGTTGGTTGTTAAGGCCTAGAAAGGTGTCTACCTGATGCAGTTTTTCACGGCGAATCGAATGGTGCTATTTTTGTTTCCGTTCGAGGTCTAGAACTTCAAAAAAACCATTTTGCAAAATATTTGTTTGTCGTGACGTCATAAAATTTTGAAGAACTCCCACATTTTTGAACCGATTCTTCTAAAAATTGGTATGTAGGTGCACATGGACCACTTCTCTGACATATATTCCGGTTTTTTGATACACGCAAAATTTGGATTTTATAATTATTTTCCCAAAAAGTCAGTTTTTTAAAGAAAAAAATTGAGCCAAAATCAAAAATTTTCAAAAAACCGAGATGGCCATTTGATAGACAAAGTAGAATCACGTGTAAACTTTTTGTTACGTCTTGATTCCCCTAAAAATGAAGATGTTAGCGGCGTTTGAAATTTTGCCGCTTTTGAGGCGAAAATGGCGAACATGACGTCACTAAAACGTCATTTTCTATAAAAAAAAACTTCCAAAGGATTTCGCTCAAATTTTCAGGGAACGTGTCAAATTGATGTAAGAAAAGGTACTGAAAGTTTGGCGGCGCTGCGCGCCGCCGTTTTTGAGATATTGCAAAAATTCGCAAGGGGGGGGGGTAAAATTTACCCCCCCCAGTCCCGCGCGGGTTAACCTTTAGGGCCAAGGTAAGGTCAGATCCACTCAGGTTACAACGTTGCTCGAAGGAGATAATTCGCATATCATTCGATTCGACAGGTCACGCCGAGTCAGTGGCTTTTCCGATTTGCTAGCTAAATTTGATCGGGGATTAGTGACAAAAACTTTGATGACCTTACTACGCAAGGTCAAGGTCAAGGACGCAAGGTCAACGATGCAAAAGAGAGGCATCTCATTGCCTCTCTTTTAGGATCCTTGGAAGGAGTGCATGAAATCACAATTCCATGTGTTTCGGGTAGTTTTAGATCATCGCAGTTTCCATATTTCCACCAAACCCCTCGCACTTATAGGGGACGGACCCCCTCGTTTTTTTTTGCGAATAACTCGCGCAAAAAGCGGCCCATCGCGGCGAGACTTTCAGTACCCTCCAGTTAACCAATTCTACGCCTACCCTAAAAATTTCATGACCCTGACCCAAATAACCTCACTGCCAGAGGAACTTTCACAAATAAAAAAAAACTTGCAGGATCTACACCTTTTTAGGCGCAATTTCAATAAGTTAAAGGCCAAATTCAAAAAGTTTAAGTTCGAAACACACGTGAACGTTTTGAATTTAACTTTCTTTTTTGAAATTGCGCCTAAAATGCTGCAGTATCCATTAGGAGTCTCACAACTTGTACATTTATCTCGGATTTTTCCTTAAGGTCACATGAGGTCAGGTTTGAGGTTTTCGTGACCTCACCATTATACCTACACCATTCTGGCGCCGGGAACGATCTTCAAATATCTCAAGCACACAGAATCATGATTTCGTGCATTCCTTGCAAGGTTCGATGCGTCACTTTTGCAATGCTGACGACGTCATTAGGGTCATATTAGTTTTTCGTGAATAACGTCCGATCAAATTGAGCTAGCGAGTCGGGAAAGCCACCAATGGACTCAGGAAGACCTGCCGAATCGAATGATATGTATGTGAAATAGCCTCCTTCGACCAAGTTCGTGACCTGGGGGCGCTAACCTGACCGTGACCCAAGGTCAACACCCTATGTTGACCTCATTCAAACAAAAAGTATATAATTCGACGCGCCTGAGCGAGGCAGACATGATGCTTCCAAAATCACGGCTCTGCGGCCATTTTTTGCGAAGTTATTCACCAAAAACGGAACCGTACCTTAAAGCACTTGACCTGACCCCACAGGTCACCGGTTGACCTAGGACCTTAAAATCGGATATCAATCTCTGCGTATCGTAACGGCGCACACGCTCGTTTTTTTCCACGACGCGCTAGCTCTACCAGGGGTGAAACGGCGAAGGGGGGATGGTCGTACCCATCCCCCCCCCCCTCGGCCGGCGCGTATGTAGAAAACCAATAGGTCCGGCGGGCGGCGAGGGTTAAGGGTCAGCTATGCCCAGTGTCACCTCTCTATCGCCAACGTGCTCAGAGCTATCGCAAAAAAAACTGAGGGGGGGGGGGCGGCACCCGCTCCTCCCCCTCGGCCGGCAACCGGCTCCCCATTGACTTTTTTGCGATAGCTCCGACCACGCCGGGGATATAGAGCTGAAACTTGGCATACCTGACCTTTGATCCAAGCCGCATCTTGTGACTTCAAACGCATTTTCAGGTCAGGTCAGGTCACTGGCCTATGACGTCATAAGTGAACCTATAGCTATGCACAGTCAGATGTCGCAACTTCGCTACGCCCTCAGTGCCAGAGGAACCTTTACCGGAGATGAAACATACAGGATGTAGTATCCTCCAGAGGTCTCACAACTTACATACCTCGGATTTTTCCTCGAGGTCACATGAGGTCATGTCGGTCACGTGACCTTGTCAACTCGTTATAAGTCGATGGGGGAAAAACTGCTATTTAACGCCGGGAACAATCTCAAACTATCTCAAGCAAACGGAATCATAATTTATTGCACTCCTGGCAAGGTCCGATACTTCACTTTTGCATTGTTGACCTTGCGTGACGTCATTTATGACGTCACTTGGGTCAAAAGAGTTTTTCGTTAATAAGTCCGGATCAAATTGAGCTAGCGAATCGTGAAAGCCACCAATGGACTTAACAAGACCTGCTGAATCGAACAATATGCGACATGACCTCCTTCGACCAAGTCCGTGACCTGGGGGCGCTGACCTGACCTTGACCCGAGGTCAACGCCTCAAATTGATCTCACCCGAACAAAAAGTATACCATTCGACAAGCCTGAGCAAGGCGAACACGATGATGCCAAAATCGCAGCTCTGTGGCCGTTTTTTGCGAAGTTATTAACCCGCGCCCCTTAGGGCTATCGGCGGACTCTACCATCCGTAGAGGGGGGGGGGGGAGGGGGGGGCGGCGTTCCGTATGATCTCGGTAATTCCCCGGCCGATTTTCAAAATTCCGCATTTTCGGTCATAGGTCATAGGTCAATGACCTGACCTGACATTCATGTGACAATGACACCCACCACAATGCATGGGGACAACATCATTCACATGTTTGAACGTTTAAAACCACAAGACTGCAAACGCGCGGATAATGTGAGCCGACATACGCCGAATCGCGATTCCGGCCAAACATGGTCTCAAGAAATAGGTCACAAGTCAAAGGTCATTGGGGCAGGGTCATGAAATTTTTAGGGTACGTGTAAAATTTCTTAACCCGCGCCTCGCTGGGGGGGGGGGGGGCAGAATCTGCCCCTCCCGTTTTTCGCCAATAACTTCTAAACGCGTTACGCCAGCGACGTCAAACTTTCAGTACTTTATCATACATCAAGTTGACACATTCCCTGAAAATTTGAGCGAAATCCATCAGAAATTTTTTTAGATATTGACGTTTTAGTGACGTCATGTTCGCCATTTTCGCCTCAAAAACGGCAAAATTTCAAACGCCGCTAACATCTTCATTTTTAAAGGAATCAAGACGTAACAAAAAAAAAAAAGATTACACGTAATTCTACTTTGTCTATCAAATAGCTATCTCGGTTTTTTGAAAATTTTTGATTTGGGTCCAATTTTTTTTCTAAAAAAACTAACGATTTTGGGAAAATAATTATAAAATCCAAAATTTTAAGTGTATCGAAAAAACCGGAATGTATGTCAGAGAAGTGGTCTATGTGCACCTACATACCAACTTTAAAAAGAATGGGTTCAAAAATGTGGGAGTTATTCAAAATTTTATGAAGTAACGACATACAAAAATTTTGAAAAATGATTTTTTGTTTTAAGTTTTAGACCTCGTACGGAAACAAAAATAGCACCATTCGATTCGCCCTGAAAAACTGCATCAGATAGACACCTTTTTAGGCCTTAACAACCAACTTCAAAATTTGACCTCACTTGACCTGACCTTGACCTGACCTCGACCTGAAATTCATCCAGAGGTGGTCCATATCACTTATTGAGTGTGCCTATTGAATTCTATGAGTAAAATGACCCATAAAACATGTGTCGCACATGTCCGTTTCTATATTTTGTTTTTGGTGACCTGACCTGACCTGACCTTGACCTTTGAATGACATTGTATGCAACAAATATTGTCTTGGTAGTCTAAGGACACGTTTTGGGCAATCAGGCTCAGTCCATTCTTCGGCAACTACGGTGCAAGACCGATACTGTAGAAACTTGCATTTTGTACCCTTGACCTGACCTTGACTTGACCTCTGACCTACTTAAGCAAAAAATTTTGGGCTCTTAAGATCCGCCTTGTTGAGAGCTTTCGATTGCCGTTTTCCCCGTCTTTCTACGACCATCGGTTCGGATGTTAGACAGGGGGGGGGCAGAATCTGCCCCCCCCCCCCAGCAGGGCGCGTATGGCTGAATAGCCCAGCGGGTCGCCGGGTTTTGTTGCGATCGGCCGCTTTTTACGCGAGTTATTCACGAAAAACCAAGGGGGTCTGTTCGACCCCCCCCCCCCCCCCTTATAAGAATGTGACTTGAGTGACATCAAGCTATTTTCAAACATATGCTCAAAAGTTTGCAGCATGAAGTAAACCATTCACAGCAGTTCAAAGCAGTTCTTTGACACATAACAGATTACCGCTCCAAAATTTGTAGCTTTGGTTGGGAAACAACATCAAAATGAAGATCAATTTTTACTTTCTTCTCCAATTTTGAAGAGCAATTTTCCACTCCCAATTTAACCAAGAAAAAGCATTTGCATGTATGGTCCTTTTACATCCTATATCCTACCATAATTGAATAGAAATATATACTTTTGATCCTTTCCCACTCTTTTAGGGTCCCACATAACAGAAAATTTTTCACTATCCCCTTTTTGGTGGAGAATTTCTCCCTCTGACACCCAAGCCAAAATATAACTTTGGGACACTGTAAGGTAGTGTCTGGCTACTCCATTTTTAGATGACTGCTTAGCACCTGCTAGGGACAGAGATGAAAGTTGGCATAGCTTACTTTTGATTAAAAAAAAAGACACCAACACATTTTTGCTCAGGTCAATTCACTGACCTACAACATCATAAGCAAATCTCTACACCGTTCCAAAGTGACACAACTTCACAACTCTCCTAGTGAGTCTCTCACACAGAGTGATGGAGCTTACAGGAAATTAATCAGCAAACTATTTTTGGAGAGTTAGCCAAATTGGGGTCCCTGGCTCGCAATCACCTGCATCGCATCAGCACTTGCAGCATCAAGAAATGCATTAAATTGAAAACATTGAAGTTCAAAGCTGCAGCACTTTGATTCAGAAGGACTTATGCATTTGAATGCTCTGACTCTGTGGCATCAGCACGGATCTAGCTATTTTTAAATCTCATACTAAAACCTTGGTAAAAGGCAATGCTTGCTGTGATGGTATAGGACGTATAAAGTGCCTTGCGAGAAACATCTGTGTGTGTTGTTGGAGCTTTTGGGTGGGCAATAGAGTACAGGCAGGCTATCAAGCGCATGGCACGAAATTGTTGTGTCCCGCTTCAGCGTTCAGATCGGCAGAGCTCCGAGCATTTCTGACGAAATGTGGTGTGCGGCAGACGTTCAGCTCGCCGTACTCGCCGCAGACGTGCGGGCTGGTCGAGCGGTTGAACCGCACGATAAAAGGGGCCATTCAGTCGGCTCGGCTGGCGCGGGAGCCGCGCTCACCCTACCTGCGTCGGTTCCTGGGTGAGTACCGCGCCACTCCGCACCCCGCCACCGGGGAGACGCCGTTCCGCTTGATGAGGGGGCGGGAGGCGCGCACGACCCTGGACGTGCTGAAGCGGGACGCGCCCACCGGAAACAGCCGGAAACGCGCGGTACGCCGGCGGCACCGCCGCTATCAGTCGGCGTACAAGAGGAGGTACGATCGCACCGCGACCGCCGCCCCCAGGTGGGAGGCAGGAGACTGGGTACGGGTTCGTAAGCCGGTCAGCGGTCGGGTCGAAGGCCAGCCGGCGGTCCAGATCCGGGAGAGGACCGGCCCTGTGAGCTACAGGGTAAGCACGGGGGACAGAGTGCACGCCAGGCGTCTCGTGCCGGGGCGTGCCACAGAGGAGCCGGTAGTGGAGGAGCTACCGGCCAGCCTTATTCCGGATTCCTCGGTCCCATCTGGGAGCGCTGAGGGCGCTGTCAGTCCGCCCAGAGTCCGCCCTGTGTCACACGCCGCCGGGGAGCTATCCGTGCCTTGGGCGGATCCTCAGACCTCTCCTGTTTCTCCGCGCCGTGGCAGTCGCCGGCGCCGGGCTCCTGACCGGTTCACGCCGGACCGGTACCAGTAGGTAGGTCGAGGGGGCTGCCCCGAGTAGAGTGTGTTCCCTCAAAGGGAGGGGTGGTGTTGGAGTTTGTTTGTGCGCCGAATATGTCTCAGGCGCGCCGAAGTTGTATTTATTTATTACTCTGTTTAGTGCTGGATTTCTGTGAGTGTATTACGTATATTTAGTTTCTTGTTGAAGAAGCGATCCTATATCTGTAATGTCGGACCGAGTTCTTTGGGTCTCTGTAGATCTAACGTCCAGCCCCGATAAGAGACTAAGGTGTAATAGTTGTAGTTTACGCGGTCAGTGATGGCGAGTGAAGAGGACCCCCATCACTACAGGCTCATTCTCTTCCGGAAACGTGGTATTGGAAAAATGTAAACAATCGGTTATGTTGTGCTTTCCTTTGGCTTCTTCGCAATAAACCCGCACTCTGGGGTCTCCCGGGCGTGTGACGAGGTGGACAGAAGCGGGACACAACAGAAATGTCTGTCAGAATATTAAGTTAGGTACTTAAGTATTGCTTCCAAATGACATATGAATGACTGAGGCCCTAAAAATATCAACAAAAACAAAAGTACAATATCAATAAAAACCAGTGAATATTCCTCTGCCAAACTTATCTATAGATAGGTAGGATATTAGTATCAAACTAAATTCAGGACTAATGCTGTAGGTTGAGGTATATATTGACCCTGGTAGGTTAAATATACCTACCTAGACTGGATAGGTAAGATACCTAGCCATTTCAATTTGATGATCAAATCAATGCCTTGAACTTGAGCAATTAATCTCCATCAAAAGTTCCCAATTAAAGTTATCATTTCAAAATCATCCTGTTGCTAGATGAGCAAGAGAAATTCAACAATAATTGTAATACATTAAACCGCAATATCAATATTGAGCAGGTTCCAGTTCAGCAGCAGAAGATGACAAAAGCCCTCAAATCTTTCAAATCTTAATCATCTTATGATAACCACCCACCTGTAGTATCTAAAGCTTCGGTGAGGTAGCTCTTATGCTTTCCAGAATCGTGTAGACTGAAGAATTGGCATCAGCAACACAGCGGCAGTGAAAGCGCGGCGAAAAGCGCGTCACGCGTGTCGCCAGACGGGCGCCGCCATTTTTGCGGTGAGAACAACTCACGCGCAGCTCTACTGCGCATGCTCAGAAACGAGGCAAGGCGACAGTCGACTGCCGCCGCTTGGTATGTGTTGTGCTGTGTGGAGTTTGGGGAATTTGAATAGATCCCATTCTGTTTTTGCTGGCTTTCAACCACAGTTGTTGAATGTGTGTAGGTGAAGTGTGACATTTAGGCAAGAGGATCGGAAAGGAGGGTGCCTGTGCGCACTCCAAGGACTATTCGTATCCTCAGATTGGCTGGAAGGACTACGGCGGCGGGCGGCGCTGAGGGGCCTTTGTCTGCGGTGCAAACGATGGATAGACATCGGACGTCATCCCATCAGTTACAGTGAGAAGCTGAAGTAACCTGCTAAGTTCCAGGCTTCATAAGTCTACAAGGTATGAGATTGAGATTTGTATACCATTTTGCCATAACATATGAGAAGAAGGCCGCGCACCCCTGTCGTAACGCTTGACGCTTCCCTAGCGTCAGTCCGCCATTGCGGTGGCAGACCGCATGCCTGACGTAAGACGGCCATTTTGAAGCCGAACTTTTCGCTGTTGTGGATGGAATTAGGTAGCATGCTATTGATTTCGGTAGTTCTAGAATTGAGAAGTGGGGCTGGCTGGCTGTTCCATAGCTTCCAGTAGCTTTCACGATATTGCTACCTTTGACTACTCGACTGTGCAGTGCATTGATCGCACACGGCACAGCTCATGGATGGAAGACCCATATTAGGCATGGTGGAAGCTATATATCACGTCTTTGTGGGCCTACAAGCTAAGTCGTCTTCTCCATATGCCCGCTGCTCCGATGTGTACTTACCGTCTCCGAAGTTTCAGGCATTATCTGTACGCGGCATACGGGAATGGTAGCCCGAAAGCGATCGGTATGCCGTATGCGTGTTGGGGGGGGGGGGGGAGGGGGATGTCGGGGTAGGTCAGCTTGAGTTGATTTATTGCTGAACTGTGGTCTGTGACTTTCCGTTTCCCAGTTTGTTAGAAATGTGGAGGAGTCGAGCCCTATCATCGATCGGCACCGCCTCCCCCCTCCCCCCCCCCCACACACACACGCATGTACTCGCTGAGGAGTAAGGGCTGTGAATGTGATAGGTGGTGGTGAAAAGGACGGTCTTGCCATAGACATCTGCGATCAATATGACTTCTACGAGTGACGATATTACGTGCTTGTTTTGACCGAGTCGGTAATGTTTTTTATGAAATATGCGGAATATCGTTCATCATTTATCGCGTATTGCGGATTAACTATTCATTTTCCACTTCAACTTGTTTCGAATCGGTTACAGGAACGACTATGCCCTGTCCCAGACTGTTTGCCGCTGCGGTCCGGCATGATCTATTTTCATGCTGCCTGGTGAGAGTCATAATTGAGCCTAATTAGTGGCGTGTTACCGGAAATGGAAAAGTTAGCTTTAAACGAAATGAAAAACAAAGTGCGTGGGAAACCGTTTTCCATCCATTTTCATCATCGGACCATTAGCTTTGCACATAGGTAAGCCCCTGCGGAGGATAAGGGAAAGGGGGGCTTCGGGACGTGTAGACGTTATTTCTTTGCAGCTTAGTAGGGTTCGAGTCTTACCAATAATTCCGATATTTTAGCATAACCGATGGCTTATGGCGCTTCATGCCTAGTAATGGTGGCTTTGTGCCCTCAAACTGATGATTGGAAATAGCCCTACGTTATGGACGTAGACCACCTTGAAGATTATAGAGAAAATGGAGACAAACTCAGTGCTCAAGTTAACTTACGTATTGTTACGCCGTTGAGTTCTTTCTTGTCCTTTCTTTGTTAGCTGTGCGTGTGTGTGTGATGGCAATACACCAGCGAAGTTGAAAAAAGACCACCTTAAAGATTATCAAGAAAATGGAGACAAACTCAGTGCTCAAGTTAACCCTCGCATGTGTGCGGCGTTTGCCAGCTTCTAATGTGTAGGGGGGGGGTCGGTTGGACCCCCCCTTGCCGTTTGGCCCCTGATCGAGCTAGAGCTTCGCGGAAAAAACGAGCGTGTTGCCCGTGACGAGAGGAAGCCGATGATACCCAATTTTAAGGTCCTAGGTCATTGATTGACCTTCCAGGTCAGGTCAATGACCCAAAGTCGGGAAAATCGGGACCTGTTAGAAAGTCGTAAAGTGTGGCTGTTAAGGGGTTTTTCGGGGTGCTGATCACGAATATCGTGTTAGTTTTGATCACAGATGATGTCTTGAAGCATTTAGACCAGGTCGGGCCAGGTCAGGTCAGGTCAACCAGTAGGCGTCGTGACGGGTATTCGTAGTACGTGTCAACCGCCTCTGACAGCTTCGTAACATGTTACGAAATCACCAAAACTACTTCGTAAATGTTCAAATGGTTGCTAAATTCGAATTCAGCTCCAAAAACTAGCCTAGAAACATGTAAAACTCGAAAAAGTGACCCGAGGTCACCCGAGGTCACCAAAGGTCAATGACCTGACCTGACCTTCAGGTGACCTTGACACACACGGGAGTAGCATCAAATCACATGTTTGAACGTTTGAAACCACGAAAAGCTTGCAAACACGCGGCTAGTGCGAGCCGACATACGCGAAATCGCGATTCCGGCCAAACATGGTCTCGGAAAAGAGGTCACAGGTCAAAGGTCATTTGGGTCAGGGTCATGAAATTTTCAGGGTAGGTGTAAAATTGCTCAATGCGAGGGTACTGAAAGTTTCGTCGCGATCGGCCGCTTTTTACGCGAGTTATTCGCGAAAAACCATGGGGGGGTCCATCCGACCCCCCCCCCCTACACATGCGAGGGTTAACTTACGGACTTAGTGTTGAAAACAAGTTAACTTTCCTGGATAACCTTGCCTAGATTAGGTACCTTTCCTAGATTTCCTAGATAGTTATCATGGTTAACGTAAGAGGCTCAATGAACTATGAATCATCAGTATACAGGAAATCCACAGACTCTTGGTAATGTCTAAACGGCAAAGGTGAGTGCTCAGGGAGATACAAAACAAGTGTTATCAGAGCCTTCATCAAAAGACCCGTCGAAGACGGTTCCTCTTGGGTACTCATACAAGTGGAATTTGAAAGACTGAAATAGATCTTGGTCAACAATGGCTTTTCGCTTTTCCACTAGGGAAATTGACGAAGAAATTAACCCGCGCCCCGCTGGGGGTCCTGGATTTCCACGCCCTGCTGCGGGGTGGTTTGAACACCCCCTTCTATGTCGGCTCCTGGGGCACGTAGCGATACGGAAAAGGCGGCGTTCGGAAGAGCGTCAAAACTAAGGAAGAAATCACTTCGGCCACTTTTAGTCAGGTCAATGGTCAGGTCACCAGTGGTCATTGAAGGCCAAAATTCGCCGATTTGTAGGTCAGATTTCGACAATTTTCAACAAATCGACGCACAGCTCGGAAACTAATAAAGTTGCAGTGCCGCTGAAAAGCGCACATTTGATAGTCCCAGTAACGCTGTTTCTGACAAATTCCATCAGATTTGACCTATCGTCAATGGTTTTGCCTGCAGGGGGCAAAAACCGCCTAAATAGCCGATTTTTTCGGAAACAGTTTTTCTGCAATAGCTTTTGACTCAAACCTAGCACGAACTTTCTTTTACCAGCATCGTGTTCCTCTCGTCAAGACGCGTCGAATGAACTTGAAGTTGACCTTGAAAGGTCAACTTCAAGATTTGACCTGGGGTCAAGGTCATGACCTGACCGGTAGTGATAGTTGAGGAATCTGGTGGGTTTTAACGTAAAAATAGTACAAAAAGTAGGTGAAATCCCAATTTCAACATGAAATTACTCGTGAGTCGTGGCTCAGACCGAGTTTCGAAAATCTGATTTCAGTCTCGTAAAGTGGAGTGCTGATTCTACCAAATATCAAATTTTGTATTTTAGCTGACAATTTACCTTTAATTAAAGGTAGGGGTAGGATTAACGGGTAACGGGTTATTTTTGTGGCCGTATTCACATTCGAAGCTTACCCCTGATGGTCGCCCGGTGCCCCGGCGTCACGCAGACGGCACCACGCGGCACGCAGGCCAGGTGCCGCCGGGCGACCATCGGGGTAAACCTCGATTGTGAATACGGCCACAAAAAATAACCCGTTACCCGTTACTCCTACCCCTACCCTTAACCGGTGATTGTGAATACGGCCACAGGGGCATAAAAGGGGTCACGGGTGCCATTTTCATGTTCAGTGTGTCTAAGATACTATATAGCTAGTAATTCAGTGTTTGAGTGTTTATAATGACTTCCGTCTAAAAGAGGCGACTTTCAAGTTTCTCTTATTGACTTATAATGGGAGGTCGCAAAATTCGCCTGACCTTAGGTCACCGATATCAAAATTTCGAGATAAACATTTTGTGCATACCGTTGCTCTTTCAATCGCTGAAAGTTTCAAAGCGATCGGTAACTCTGTGTAGCTACTAGCTATGGCAGACATGGAAACTTTTTTATGTAGGTAGTGAGGTCACTTCACCTGACCTGGAGACCTTAAGTGACCTGGGTCTGAAATTTTCACAACATATGTAGAAATGATGTAGGTATGCGCCGCTGTTTTTTTAGATATTGGCGAAAACCCGCAGGGGAGAGGGGAACATCCCCTCCCCCCAGCAGGGTGTGGGTTAAGCAGCATCTTGATATAGAGAGACAAGCAAAAATATGACCCCAAAAGGCCGTTCCGGAAATATTATTACGCTGTATTATCGCAACCACGTGTCTCCCTCGTACAAAATAGACGAAAACGTCATCAAACAAATTATCGTGGAAAACATAACCTGTACAAACGCCACTGACCAACTGAAATTCATCATCTTTTACAAAAAAAAGCGAAACAAGTAGCCTGCTCGTACGGAACAACATGCAAGACAACACAGACAAACTCAAACGCACCAATGTAGTTTGCGAATTTTCATGTCCGTACGAAGATTACAGGTTTCGTGAAATAAACTACATTGGCGCTACAAACAACCACATCACTATCAAGTCGTCTCACCATGCACCTTAGAGACGGCCGGGGCACCAAATCAACACAAATACAGCACAAAACATGACGCAAGCGCACCAGACCTATCACTAGAAAACTTCTGACTGAAAATGCGACCATCATCAAAACACAGGACAACAGAGCACGTCTCGTCTCTGGAAACTAGAGGCATTACTCATTAGATATCGCGCTCCACAGCTCAACAAGCAACATAACTCTTGCGTTACACTAGGGCTGTAAAGACGTTCCCATGTCATGTAGCTGGTTGAAAGCTACATTTTCCCAGCAATACCAGCCAGTAGAGCATTTGAGCCACCTGAAGATGGTTAGAACACTGGAAACTCATTGTAGCCACTTGCAGAGAGCCGTCGTGGTTGCTGACAGAACGTGTCACCCTGAACCATCAATGAAACTAGCTGCGAGTAGCAATCATAGGGCGCAGGCCGTGGCGCGGGAATGAATTATGAAAGTAGCTCGATCACTCATTTTGAGTAAAAATTTGAGCAAAATGCAATTTTTACATGGCATGATAGAAGCACGAACGGTTCAAAAAGTTAGTCACTGATTTGCATAAAGATCACACTATTTACTGAAAATATGACTCATTGACTGTTCGAAGTTTCAATGTTGTAACCTTATCACTTTGAGAAATATTGATTTTAAGCTAGAAACGTGTTTTTTTTTTTCTGCGCCACCCGGTATATAGGAAGGGGGCGTTATAAGAGATTTACTACGTTACCATGGCACAAGTTCGGCCGATTTTGCAAAAAAAAAGATTCTCCGTCATATTATTTAGACGTTTAGAATTGTAAATATAGGATTAGGTGCTAGCTAAAGCCATAGGCTATGCCTAAAGCCATAGGCATAGCCTATGTGCGCTCATTTTTTGCAAAGGTGAATAGTATCCGAGAAAAATGCACGTGGAATTTCGTTCAATTGTTTTACGCGTTCATGGAAACGTAGGGATTATCTCGTTCCTAAGAGTGGTCAGATCTTTTGCTTTGGAGATCAGGCTCGATTTGCGACGCCTGGCGATGACCGCATCTGTAGCCAAAGGGAAGAAGCATTCGCGGTGCTCGGATGCCATACGGACTGGAATTCATCCGGAGAGTGCATGATGCTGTTGATAAATATCCCAGTAAGAGGGCACGGGCCCCGTGATGCCATCATTTTTCTTCAAGAACGGCCTCAAAGTCAACTTCACGAGCTGAGCCGGACTTATGGCGACGGATGTCAAACTACTTGTCTATCACCAGGGACGTAGCCAAGGGGGCGCACGGGGGCCATGCCCCCCCCCCCTGAAGGCGAAAAAATAAAATAAAATTGAATAAAAAATAACAATAGATTAAAACAGCTGCACCATACCCCGAAAAATAGTGGGCCAAATCCGAGGAGTTTTCCTTTTTTGAGGGTGTACTTGACTAGGCCGCGACCTGTGGCCCCTCCCTGAGCAAAATCCTGGGTGCGTGCCTGCTTATCACCTATGGAAGTACTTACACATGTAATAGTAGTTGTAACTTTTGTCACATTCGTGTATTAATGTTCGATCGTTTTGTGCTTCCATTTGCAAGACATCTGGCTCCATGCTGCAGACTTGTGATCAGCTCAGTTGAGCCGGCTCAAAAATCAGCTCAGCTCATGAGCCGGCTCAACATTTTGCCAAATTGTTGAGCTGTGAGCTGAGCCGGCTCAGTAATGCATTGAGCTGAGCTGCTGTCTGAGCTGAGCTGAATGAGCTTGAGCTGAGCTGAGCTGAATGAGCTTGAGCTGAGCTGAGCTGATTGAGCTGAGCTGATTGAGCTGAGCTGAGCTGATTGAACTGAGCTGAGCTGAGCTGAGCTGATTGAGCTGAGCTGAGCTGAGCTGAGCGAGCTGAGCTGAGCTGATTGAGCTGAGCTGATTTAGCTGAGCTGAGCTGATCCAGTTCTAGTAGTAGGTACACTGGAAGATGATGAGAACGGATAAAAATATAAAACCGAATGCAATGTGCATTGAATATTGATACACTATAAACACTAGAAACATGATAAACTGGAAATAATATTATAATACAAACCAAAGACGTCACTAGGTGAAAGGCCATGTAGTTCGACACCGCAAACTGAAGCGATCGGTCGGGAAATCGCTACATTCCTCTATTGCACCCCGTTCGCACCGTTTTAAGCCGTTCGGTTGGTATCCTTATCCACTGCGGCGTGATGTCCCGACCTGTGTCCCGATGATTCGATGTCCATGACCAATCAGCACACGCATTGCCGTGACGTCATTGGCCGGACCCCGACACGTTACGGAGATATGGGTGGCATTCGGCATTCGGCAATGGGTGGCATTGAATTTAACTGAGCGGAAACTGAGCTGAGCTGAATTGAGCGGAAACTGAGCTGAGCTGAACGGGAACTAAGTTGAGCTGAGCTTAGCTGAGCGGAAACTGAGCTGAGCTGAACTGAGCTGAGCGGAAACTGAGCTGAGCTGAGCGGAAACTGAACTGAGCTGAGCGGAGACTGAGCTGAGCTGAGCGGAAACTGAGCTGAGCGGAAACTGAGCTGAGCTGAGCGGAAACTGAGCTGAGCTGAGCGGAAACTGAGCTGAGCTGAGCTGAGCGGAAACTGAGCTGAGCTGAGCTGAGCGGAAACTGAGCTGAGCTGAGCTGAGCGTGAGCGGAGCGCAGCCGGTTTGAGCGGAACGTGAGCTGAGCTGAGCCGCGTTAAACTGAGCGGGAGCTGAGCGGGAGCGGATAAGACGGAGTTGAGCTGAGCGAGCTCACTTTTTTCTTGAGCTGTCACAAGTCTGCCATGCTGCTGGTGGAGCATCTATGCACCTTAATGCCTGTTTCATCAAACGTTTTCCAACATTGCGGTATGTCATTTTTGTTGGACCGGGCTTTTTACCTAAAATAAAACCTGATTTAATAATGTCATCTTTATTTATTAGAGCAGGAACGTGGATTTTGTTGTAAATAAACAACGGGCTACTCGTTACTGTACGATTTTATTCCTTTTCAGCTCGTCGCTTCTGAGTCCATTGTTGAATCCAGCCATGAGCAACTTACAAGGTGAGCAGATAATCCGTCATCGCTTTATTCAAACACATTTTCAATACCGTCTATCAGATGCGTTCCATGCCATAATAACGCCCCTGTATTATGCTGCACCGTTCTGTATGAGGGCTGCGTAGTTCAGCAAGACGTTTCGGACCGCTTCATGAAGACCTTACGGTGTTTGAATTTCAGAACTAACTTGATGCGCTTTTGCCGTAGTCCGTAGATTCACGATCGAAGTATGTGCATTTCATCATGTACGCAATTGCGGTCGATGTTCAATGTTAAATCCTGTTTTGATTCGTTTTCATTTGTTTGCTCGTGTATCTGCGGCAATTTTTTCCTATCTGTTCATGGTGAGCTTTTGCATACCGTTCCTTTGCTAATGTTTTCAGGTCCCAATCCATCGTACGAGCAGAAGCTCGAAAAGCTCCAGCGCTACTTGCCGTTCCTGCGGAAAATGATCACCAAACTGGAGCGTACAAACGATCCTACGAGAACGGCGCAGCTGCAAAAGATGAAACATCTGCATGCAATATTGACGGACAGCTCCAGAAAGTAGGTGTGATTTTATTTTCACTAAAGGCTAGTCATTCTTGCACCACAATGTTGTGAGTTTAAGGCATATTTCATTAAGTCTTGCTTTGGATAAAACGTGTGCTGGAACGTGGCAAATTAAAAAAGGGGCTAGGACATACAGCGCTACATTACCTTGATCGTAAAATTTTATGGAAACTGTCTCGTTCCGTAAGCTGTATTTCAATACCTGCATTTAAAAAGGGATTGATCTTAAAAGCAGGGCGTATATGAGGATTTGTAAAAGGGGTTCTGTCCTAATGTCTTCACTTCACAATGTATTCTGCTGGGTGCAGAAGTTGTATCGCTACTGAAACATACGCCGATCATTCTTCTAAGTATCGGTGCGCTCCCTTGTATGCCAAACAGCAGCCTAGACCAAATGTAAGATGACTGGCTTGCCACTAAGCAACTGCTTAATACCTACGCCTTCATTCCCGGTTAAGGTTGACAGTATGGGTTGATTGATGGAATGCCGATTGCAAACTAAAATACTTTTTTGGGCTAGAGAATTTCTTTGCTTTTAGACCGTGGAAACTCCTTAACCCTCGCACGACCAGGCCATTTCTCATAACACGAACGACCAGGGGGGGGGGGTTGTTACGACCCCCCCTGGCGTTTCGAAACGGAAGGTCGTAGAGCTTAGCGGAAAAAACCAACAGATTGCTCTCAACGAGATCTCGCGATTGGTGGTATATTTTTTGGTCCTAGGTCAACATTTGACCTACTTTTGACCGGTCAAAGGTCAAATTTTCGGAAAAATAGACTTTTTTCAACTTTCGGCGGCGATTGCCGCAAAACGGTGGGAGATATCGACTTGAAACCTTCACTATCGTGTTCCTTGATCAATTCTCTATCGTTTGGTATGTATTTCGTTTCCCTAGCTCTAAAAATGGCGCGTTGGGAGCGCCGGAAGTCGGCAAGGTCACAGTCGGCGGCAGAAATTCGAAAAATCAAAATTTAAATTTTTGAAATCTGATTGTATTTTTGGATTTGGGAGGTTCATTTGCTCCCTATAGAAGCTAATATTGCTGCATATTCCCATTGAGGTGACAAGAATTAGCAAAATAGTGGTTCGGGCGCTTTTCAAAAATAGTACCGGACGCTGTTCCTCTTGTGACGTCATAGCTCCGTGATCTGACCTGACCCGGTCAAATTTTTTATACCATATGATAGCCAATACTTGCCCCAACATGCATGGGAAGTTTCATCACGATCCATCAACCGATGTCCGTACCACCGGCAGGAAACCTCGGGCGTTGGCACTCAGTTTGTGAAAATCCGGCCGGAGGCTGTACCTCTTATGACGTCATAACTCCGTGACCTGACATGACCCGATCAATTTTTTTCGGCAAAAGATGCGCAAAGGTTGCCCCAGAGGGTATTGAAAATTTCAGCCCGCTACGACAAGCCGTTTAGCGTGCACTTCGAAAAAACCTCAGGGGGGGGGGGGTTGATACAACCCCCCCCCCCCTAGGCGTTCTAGGGTTAATGGTGCAATTTTCAACTAATGGACTCCTTTGCTGTGTTAGAAGGAAAAGTTTAATTTTAAGCAGTCTGTTGACCTTGGGACGTTGAATATGGGGGGGGGGGGGGGAGGTACCACTAGGTGTTAACGCAATAAGTATCCGAGATATTTAACCAACTTTGGTCTTCAATCGTGTGTTTTATGATAGCGCTGAATTCTTTATGCATATCGTAGGCCTAATCAATTAGCTGTCACATGCTAGAAAGCATAGGTAGCTAAAATGCCAAGTTTAAGTATTGGTGCTACGTTCACGTTCCGCTCTTATGTTTACTGAAAGGCCGTTTCGCATTCCGTATATGAAACGATGTGTCTCTCTTGGGCCACGTAGCGACACATGTCAAGTGGCATTAGAAAGAGCGTCAAAAAAAAATCACGAGTTATTAGTACTCCAGTCATTTTTTTTATAATAGGTCAAAGGTCAGGTCACCAGAGGTCACCGAAGGTCAATCTTTGTCTATTTCAACATTTTTGACATTGTCGTGAACTCTAGAAGAAATAGAGCCACAGTGCCGTGGAAAAACGCATTTGATAGATATTTTAACGATTTTATTTCTGTTAACTTTTTGCAGATTTGATCTATGATCAATGTTTGGCATCCAAAGAGCAAAAACTAAAAATTGACGTTTTTCAGAAAACGCTTTTCTGCAAAACCTTTTTCTTAAAAAAACTTGCACGACATTGATTTGGCCGCTATCGCACTCCCCTCCCGAAAGAACTGATTTAACCTTACATTGAAAGGTCATTTTGAAGATTTGATCTCAGGTCATGTTCATGATCTGACCACAAAAGGTCTTGTTGCATATCAGTCGATCCGTACCATCGAGTTCAACACATTAACGGTTGTTTTATTGCTCTAGCGTGTCTATCAAGACTTATTGTTTAACTTTCGGAGACCTTTCATGGCCTTAGATAACCTCAGGAGCATTAAGAGGTGTCACGGGTACGAGTTTCTGATTTAATTTGACATATTTACCTGTAACCCGATGTTTGAGAGTGTTTAGTTAGTATGATTCGTCCAAAACGGCGCATATAAATTTTCTCCCATTGACTGGTAATGGAGAGTCGCAAAAGTTACTTGACCCTTTGTCACAGATATCCAAGTTCCGAGAAATATGCTAAGGTACTGTTACAGTTATCAATCGCTGAAAGTTTCAAAACGATTGCTCAGTCGGTATAGTTATGGCGAGCAATAGAAGCTTTTTTAGGTAGGTTACTGACCACTGAATGTGAACTTGTGACCTGACCTTGATAGACCTGGGGCTGAGACTGAAATTTTTACAACGTATGCAAAAAACATGCATGAAAAGGTGCCGCCGCCGTTTTTTAAAGATATTTGTGGAAAACTGCTTGGGGGAGGGGAGGTGTCTAAACACCTCCGGCCCGGCACGGTTTAAGTTAAACCGTCGGTTTAATTTATTATTGGTGGCCGTGCACTAACTTACCTCATCTGGGAATCTCGTGAACCAGGAGCTTGCATTGCCACTAGTTTTGATAGCAAATTCATCGAGGAAAATGTATCGTTGCATTGTATTTCCACTGCTGTAAATATTCTGTGAATTCGGGGCAAATATAAATTCTCGGTAGGTATGTTTCTGATATTTGAAAGCGATATGTTTTGAACTAAGGATAGGCTTCCAAGATATTTAGTGTAGAAACGTTACTGGTCCATTTATGCATTTTCTAGTTGTTGGTATATCCCTATATATTTTTTTTTCTTGTATTATGATCTCCGAAAGATGTCAGTCATCGCTGTTATCGATTCTTTCGTTTCCATTTACTTCTGAGTAATTTATGCACAACCACATCTTGCAGGCTTAAATACGAGCTGCTGGTGAAATGTGAGGGTGTCCTTCAAAAGCTACATGACAAGATTGAAGGGGTAAGTTTCGGAAGCTTTAATGTTCGCTTTTGAGCCTAGCATTATGATGTTCCTACCATTGAAACAAGAGTTCATTTTAAAGCAACGGAATGACTGTGTAAAGTACAATTGTGAGCCATTGAAACTCACCGGTGAACGTGTGTTTTTGTGCAGCATATACATGTTCACTAAATAAGAAAACTGTTGAATACAGTTCAGACTGAAACGTCATTTGTGTGGTAGTGCTGTTTGGACGTATTACAGCAAACAATCGTTCCTGATTTCGTCTGGCATTTCAGGAATCGGATGATGATGTTATGGAGCTACCTCAGCCAGCGCGACCACAGCCCCAACGGCCGCCGCCACCAGAGCATCAAAGGCGCATGCTGTATCCGGAATCGGAGTGGGAGAGGCCATCGCCTCCCCGTGAAGTTCAGCGCTCTGCCCCCAGTTCATCAGGCGCGAGGTATTCAGGCAGCGCCATTACCATCCCTTTTTATTCATTTAATTTAATTCGTCCGCTTTGCAAGAATATTTCCCCTTGTATGCATTGTATTGTAATGGAATGGAATCAATAAACATCGGGTCCTGAAAAGGCGCTGCAAAGCCTTTTACCGTGTATAAGATGTGTAAGCATGTACGGTGAATCGTAGCTTTGTCTCATCAAATGTAACCACCAGGTTTCTGTTTCTGTTAAGTCCAAGAATTTGAATGACCGCCTCGAATGCCTAGAATACTGTAGAATGAACGACCATACTTTACAGATGCATAAATACCCCGATCCTGTATTGGATCGGTACCTGTTCTTACAACACTAACAGTTATGTTTGTGTTTTGTTTCAGCCGACTCTCCGACGACCCTCCGGTTCACAGTCCACCACTCAGCTCATTTGTGGAACGGATAAGCATGTCCTCGCCCTCCGCGAGTTTCAACGAAATGGACCAACCTCGTAGTCCAAGTCCCGAAGTCGTAGCCCAGATCCCAGGGGCGTTTGCTGGAAATGACCACAAGGACAAAAAGTTTGAAAGGGGAAGAGAAATTCTCCGAAAGCTGATGATCGGCATGTCAAAAACCCTGGATGAAACTGAAGTACAGAGTCCACCAGACGTTGATGCATCTGCTTCGAGGGGTCCGAAAATCATTCCGCTTGAACGTGAAAGCTCCACTGATACCCCCGATAGTGAGCTGCGTGTTGATGATATCGCAGTTCCGGGGTGCAGTGATCATGGCACAGATCCCCGTGGCGCGACGACAATGCCCGCAGAGAGTGATGCATACAATCCGGAAGATGAGTGGAGCGAGATTCGAAAGAAGCCGACCTTCAGGCCATCTTTTATGTCGAAGCCACCGCTCTCTAAAGAGGATTTGGAAGAGCTGAACAGAGACCTGGGTGCAGGTAGCACGTCTGGTGGGACCTCAGAGGAGAAAAGACGAGAAGGAGGCAGCAGCTCCTCATCTAGAAGTCGGCACAGATCTGGTGAGTCCGGTAGCAGAAGACATGGCTCAACTGATGATCGACGTGATAAAGGAGATCGAAGGGATCGTCCTCACTCCAGTGAAAGCAGACTTGTGATAAGGAAAGGCGAAACATTAGCGGACGCGAAACGGCGGCGCTTTGAAGAGTGGAAGAAGGCTGAGATCGAGAGGAGAAAAAAGCGAAAAGCAGAGCTAAAGCATTCTAGTCATGGAAGAAGTCGTCACGAACCATCTAGATCTTCTTCAAGCCATCATCGCAGAGAGCATTCTCAAGATCGTCCATCGTCCCACAAAGCCGACCGAAATGTCTCTAGGCATGGGGATACTGATAAAGTGGACTCGAAAGAAAAAGCGACAGGAAAGACGTCTCAAGATTCGACGGGGAGGAACCGCACTGAATCATTGTCCATGGATCCGAAAACGAAAACGGGTTCTGTGAAAGACCCGAGAAAGCAAGGCGATTCCAGATCTGATGAAGCAGCTGAAACTTCCAAGAAACCTGATGCGACAGTGGAAAAAGTAAGTGAACAGTTAAAGAAATACTCCGTTCAGGAACTGGTAAAAACTGTGCACGAAAGTTTGAGTCCCGTGGCAAGAAAAAAGGAGCTGCCAGCAGATGACCTCGAGCAAACATTTACATGTCTGGTCATCCGGAACCTCCCTCCAAACACATTGCGGCAAGATATTTTCCGCCTGTTCCATGGCTTCGGTATCGTGGAGCTCGTGCTTGAGGTGCACTTTTCATTCACATGTGCTGGCATAGCTTATGCTAAGCTAGCAGAACATTCTGAGGCGAAGCGAGCTAGAAAGGAACTTGCAGACAAGGAAGTGCATGGAAATCCCGTGAAAATATCTCCTTGCGCTGATGGCATCTTCAGAGAAGCAAAGCGAACTTACGAGCAAACCATGAATGCACGCGAAGAGCAGTACGCAAAGCGTCAAAGTCAGCAATCGCAACCGGCACCCCAGCCTACTGCTCTTCAGTATCCACACCAAGTGCATGATCCCAGGACATACCATCCGAAGTACCCTAGTCACCCTCACGGCGTGTCTTCGCCGCTCCTGCCTCGGCCCGCTCCGGTGGGTGTAGGTTTCAATCAAAGACCCTCACTGCCGGGCCGGTCGGGCTTTGTTCCACAGCAGCCGGCTCCACATCATCACAATCAAAGTCCAAAATTTCAACCTCACCCGGCAGCCCCAAGACATTCAACTCCTCCAAGACCAAGCTTAAGCAAACACAACTTCGACAACCCCTACAACGTTCAACCGGGTAAAGAGGACAAGACGATGCCAAGCAAAAGTGACCCCAGGCGCGCTGCTCAGATGTCCTATCATGAGCAAAAGAAACAGCAGCTTGAGAAGGAGCTTGAGATACTCAGGAGACACGAAGAAGAAAGGATGAAACGCAAAGAGAAGGAGAAACAGCTGCAGAAAACCAAGCCGGATGGTCGTGAGGTCAAGCCGGACAGACGTGAAAAGACCAAGGGGGACAAAGTCAAGACTGGGCTCCAGAGCCGGGAGCCGGTGAAACCAGTCAGTCGTGGATCTACGTCTGCACAAAAGCCTGTTATAGAACACAAAGCAGCATCCTTGGGGAAGTTCAAGATTCCAAAGCTCAAGAAGTCTGAACCGGAGGTTACGGAGAAGCCAGTAACGTCAGAAACTACTTCTGATCAGGCGGTGCCTGACCCACAGACAAAGCCACCAGTGGCATGCCACCAGGAAGATACAGTTTCCTCAACTGTTGACACCGAAGAATTAGTCGTGAAGCAAAAACGGAAGCGGCGGGTCGTCGTTATCTCGGACTCAGATTCGGAGTCTGAAGTGGAGAAGACTAGTAACGCAGCACAGGAAGAAAGAAAAAACAAGACCAGCGTGAAACAACCCGGCGAGGAGAAAGGTCACTGTGACGTGGATCGTCTGAAGCAGTCAAAGAGTGTTGAAAAACAACAGCCAGAGTCAAGCTCGAAAATGCATCACAAGCTCACTCCCGACACCAAGACAGCCACTGAAAGTGAATCTGATGCTTGTGAAACGGTGGAATCAGACACGGATAGGACGGATACCGAGCAAACGCCGACCACAGCTGAACTAGCGCAGAGCTTCAAAAAGAAACCAATGGTAGTGCTAACTCGCACGATCGCCAAAGCGCCATCGGATGCCGATAAGGGAAGCGAGGTCCATAGTTCTAAACCATCAGTAGCAGAAGTACAAGTGGATGCTACCGCCGTGGAACAAAAGCGGAGCGAGGCTGACGTGACGACCGAAATTGTGAGTGACGACACCTCCGATCTGCAGCCGAAGGAGGATATTCAGCAGGAAGACACGAGCACAGTGCCTATCGATTCCGACCTGAGCAACAGCGCTGCTGACGTAACTGCTGGTTCTACGGACCTGGATAGTCCGGCGGTGAAGACTGAAACGGAATCGATTGAGCCGGAAGAGTGCATGTACTGCTCTTTCAACGGAAAGAAAGTGATCTTTCACTATGTCATGTCACATCCAGGGAAGCCCATTCCTGTCAAGATGCAAAAATCATTCTTGGAAAAAGCGGTTCAAGAAGAACTTGGGCCTGGAGATGATTCGGCGAAGAAGCCTCTGCCGGAAGATTTGGAAGCGAAACTGCTCAACGATGATCTCAGCTGGATCCCACCATCTTTGATGTTTGACTATAGCATCGCATGTCTGTACTGCAAATTCACTGCCTTAAACAAGCGGCACATGCTGCAACACATTGCAGACCATTTACAATCCGGTACATCGGCGCCTGAGGACTACTCCATGAAGTGTAGGTTCTGCAAATTCAAAACTGTCAACAGTCAGGAGCTGTTTGATCACATCACCTCGCACACTGGGGAGTATCGTTACTCTTGCCAGCAGTGTGGATACAAAGTGTTCCGCATGTACTTTCTGAGGAACCATATCACCAACCTGCACAAGGACAGTACAGTGGATGCTATCTCGATCGAGGAAGCTGATATTGGCAACGGATGGATGTACGGCTATGCCTGCAAGCTGTGTGGTTTTGTTCAGCTCCACGAGCGAAACCTCAAGAAACACATGGCTGATTCTCACGAGGGGAGTACGGACTATACCAAGATCAACATGTGCTTGAGAGGACCTTCTATAGACATCAGCAAAAAGGTCGGCGAGGCCCTCAAACGCATGAAGGCGGATGACGAGAAGCGAGCTGCTTCACTGCCGCCGCCGATCGATGACATAACTGTATTTGCAGTTGGCGAGCGCTGGCTGAAAGAACTGTCTGCTGAGGAGGCGGTCCGGAAAGAGCACATGAACGCGCTGATGGCGCAATACTCAAAGAAGCTGGCGGTGCCGCCTGGTCCGTCGGGGAGCGAGCTTCTGCAGAGGCTGCAGTGCCATGAAGACTCACCAGTGCGGTACCTCGAGGACATGCGACAACGCGCCCTAGAGAAGCCGCCCAAGGTGGACGAATCCGCTGAGCAGGAAGGCGATCTGGAGCAGAGCCAAGAGCAGGGTCCGGACGACAAAAAGGGAGACAGCGACTCGGACGGTGCCAACTCGGAGCCGCCATGGGATGAGGACACCGGCGAAAGCGAGGAGGCCGCTCAGTCACAGCCACTGGACGATGCTCTGTGCGAGCTGCAGGCGGTGCGGCCGGATGACCCCAACGAGTTTGGGTACCAGATCACCATGAAGCTGGCGGCGGCGCTGCGGCCTCCGGCGCCCGAGCCGCCGCCGACGGATGGTCTGTCCGGTGTCGTCATCAAGCAGGAGCCGGCTGACCAGTTAGGCTTCAGCGCCGAGTCGGACGCCAGGGCTGCCGCCGGACTCAACTCGATGAACGCCGACCTCGAGTCGCTGATGAACGACTTCGACCGGTTCGAGCGTGAGCAAGAGCCACAAGAGCCGCCCAGGCCGAAACTGCGCATCCGCAAACTCAGCGGCGATCTCCTCTCGTCAGATGACGCTTTGGTAAGTACGCGACTAAGATGCTCTTTATCAGTAAAAGCCCTTCTTGAGGTTAGAGATGGCAACTGTACGTCTCATTACGATGCTTCCTGTAGCTAAAGTCACTTGCAGTCGCTATTTCACACTTTGAGCACCATATCTACCCTGGTTTTTGGTCGACGAAAATGAATTGAGCTTACAGTGAGCAAGTTAATTTCATGGAAACGATTACCATATTTTAACCAGGACGTGATGTTTTGAATGGTTACGGTCGCTTGAGACGATGGGAATGTACCGTTTGGCTTAGTTATCATACACTGGTGACGTTGCTATTTTATACCGACTGTGCCTTGAGTCTTGACATCGTGTTCTGTCGCAGGGTGGTGGTCTCGGTGGCCTGACGATCTCCAGTGTAATGAGCCTGACGGGAGGCGCCGAGGCAGACCCTCTACAGACAGGTAAATAAAACTGCATGCCTTGAAAGTATCTCCATATTGGTTTCCATTCTTAATAATGAACCTTATTTAATAGTGATAAGGAATTGTTATACCCTTAAGCCGATAGTCTTAGTAACTGACCTCAGTACAACTTTTATCCCACTTACGGGAAAGCTTATTCCTTCTTTGAGCTTATTCCTCCTTGAGTTCCTTTATATTTTGTGTCCTGTTTTATCTTTTCTTTTGGAAGTAATATTACTACGTGGCTGATTCCTTGGACCTGGCTGTCATTGATCGCATTGTATGCATTCCCATCCGCCTCTGTCCCGTTGCAGAAACGCCTGCCAAGAAGGTGGACGACCTGTTCTCGTTTCCGCCGGAGGGCGAGCGGCGGCCGTGGAAGCACTTTCTGACGCTCAAGGACCAGTCAAAGGTGATGCGACTCATGTTTCACATGCATCACAAGTCGGCCTACAAGTGCAACGCCGTCCACTGCAGCCTGACCACCAACAACGGCACCCTCTTCAAGCTGCACCTGCGCAACCACGAGAAGTGCGACGTGTGCTCTCCGGACGAGACCTCGTACACGTGCATGAACACGCGACTGGTGTGCGTCTACTGCGGCTACAAGGGCGCCGACCTGGCCGAGCACGTGTACAAGCGGCACGCCATCTCCCAGTTCCAGTGCGGCTACTGCTTCTACCGCACTCGACAGAACGCGTACATGCACGAACATCAGGTAGTTAAGAGGGACGGAATTGGTGATGGTGTACCCTTGGTGACGGTTCTCTGGTTTCAGTGTTCCTTGGACTTGCAGGATACTTACGATCTTTTTTAATTATGTAAGTTGTATGCCTTTGTTGTGTTCAGTTTTGTGAATGTATGAGTTTTTTTTTGCCACCATCTGTTACAAACATTTCAATGATGCTTGTAGCATTGCCTTGTCATGCTGTTCGTAGTTAAACTCAAACTGGTACCGGTAGGCGGTACCGTATATGTCATCAACTGTATCAGCTGTGAATGGACATGACTATCAAGTCTCCGCCTACCCTCATATCCGACGTGATTGAACATCACCTTATGTAACCGACCTGCTCTCCGCTTTCCTCCGTTTCAGCGCCGCTGGCACGCCGACATGCCGACGTACTTCTTGCAGTCTGACCCGGCCAACCCGCCTCCGGGCCTGAACTCCTCTCATCTGGTCGAGACTGAGATGGTCGGCGAGTCTAGTCTGACGCCGTACATCTGCGCTCAAGGTAGGGGTCGCTCCGCGCGTCGGTGAGGGTGCAGTGGCAAGGACGATTGGATGGCTGGAATAGGGGTGAAATACCAGATAATGGGTGTGGGGCGATCAGTGTCATAGCGTATCATGTTGTTGGTAGGCTGTGCACTGTGCACACAAATTAAGGCCACTGTCATTCCAGCGTCGTTTGTGTTTTCCCTGGTACGTACCTTGCCACACATCAAAACACACCTTTCCCGTAAAATGGCACACGACACTCCTGCCCAAACCTCACGGCACTCCTGCCTAGACCTCATCTTCATTCGCACTAACCTTATCATCCATATGACCAGCTGTTTACCTCTATTCTCTGTCGGCAGACGGCTGCGATCGCGCGTTCATCAAGGCGGCGGTGCTCGAGCAGCACTACGCCGAGGCCCACCCAGACGCCAGCGTGTTCCCGTGTCACGTGTGTGGCCTGCGCACCGACTCTTTCGCCGCCCTGATCGGGGTAAGACGACAGAGAATGTAGTGTGTGACGGGGTGGGAGAGGGGCTGGGGAACTGTATCGAGTTTGGACCGTGGATTTTACCATTGACGGCCAGGGTAGGGTAGTGCATTTCGGTAATGAACTTGTTATCCTTTTTTGTAATACTCAGCAACATGGTCTGACTTACGAGTCGAGTGTATGCTTGATTATTCGTGATCACAAAATGGAATTGTATAGCATTCACTGACCTATAATTTCTGCGTGCTCGAAGTTCGACGATGAATGCTCGCTTTTGCGTGTAACGTATGTTGAATCAATTAACATGCATCAACTTGTACAATGTACGTCACCGTGTTTCAGCACTACATCGGCCACGGCTACGTCGCCTACCACTGTGCCTACTGCACTTACGCCAACCAGGACCAGAATGACGTCAAGAAGCACCTGATCGATTTCCACCCTGATGATCCGCCCAAGTGCTACGCCAGGATACCAAAGGTGCCGTACGCGGATGGTGATCTGTTTTACTTTTATGAGTAGTGAGATTGTTCAATATACATCGCTGACACGCTGTCATTAATTTAACTTGAGGGTTGTATTGTAGGGAGGTTATTGTTAAATGAAAGCAGTTTCTTAGGGTGAGATAAAAAAAAATCAATTCTCAATTGACAAAGTCGCTTTTTCTGTGATGACTTCCAGTTAGCTCGCCATGTTCACTGCACGTCTGTGTCAACTGTCATTCGTGTCCTATCTGGTTGTGTACTAGCGTTGTGATCGACAGTTGGTCTGCCCTGTGCTTCAGTCCATGGACGTGGTGCTCGGTGTGCCGCCGGCCGCTGCTCCCCCGCCGCCGCCCCAGGTGCCGCCGCCGCTGCCGACCCTGCCGGTGACGTCAGTGAAGCAAGAGCCCGGCCTGGGCTCCGAGCTGCCGCCGGCGCCGTCCAGTCCGCCGGCGGCCGACGCCGCGCTGGCCGCCGTCAAACAGGAGCTGGAGTCGGAGCGGCCGGCGTCCGAGGAGCAGGTAGAGCTGGAGGAGGCGGCGGATCCTACCGGCGGCCCACCGCAGGCCCCCTCACCGCCCGGCGAGCCGGCGCCGCTGCTGGGCGAGGACCTGTACCGCTGCGGCAACCCCAGGTGCTACGAGCGCTTCCCCACGCTGCCGTCGTTCAAGGACCACATGCTGAGCTGTCCGCACGGCGAGAACGGCGTGCTGCTCTGCTTCCACTGCCCCAAACAGGTGAAACACGTCGGCACGGCCCTGGAGCACATCCGACAGCACGGGCCTAAACGATACTCGTGTGCGATGTGCGACTTCTGTGCGTCCATGCCGAACGCGGTGACCAAGCACCTGAAGCAGCAGCACCGCATGTCGAGCTGCACCACGCTGCCACTGGTGGCTGACCGCGCCGACCCCGAGCGCGACCAATTCGTGGTGTACCCGCGCCAGTGCGTGCCGCGCGCCGAACAGCCGCCGGCCGCCAGCGGAGCCGAACAGAAGAGCTTCGGCGTGGAGGAGATCGACCAGCTGCCGCACCGACCCGTGCTCTTCCGGGCGATGCAGTGTAAGCTCTGTCCGTACAGCACCAAGGTGACGCGCAATCTGCGGAAGCACCTGCTGTGCCACCGGCGCAGCGACGGCACTGCGCCGCTGCCCGTGGCGGCGCCCATCAACCCGCGGCCTTGCGACCAGCGCGGCGAGAAGATGTTTGACAAGATGGCCAACCTGGCCAGCAGCTCCGGCGAGGTGGGCGTGCCCAGGAAGGCCGAGGAGCTGTCGCCGGCCGACCTCGAGCGGCTGCCCAAGGAGGTGACTGAGGACAAGCGGTACATCTGCAGCATCCCCGGCTGCGTGTATCTGACGCTCAACGACACCATGCTCAAGTATCACATCCAGGCGCTGCACGGCCAGATGATCACCTATCCGTGCCCGCACTGCACCGACCTCTACATGATCCCGGACAAGCTGAGCGCCCACCTGCGCCTGCACGGGCCGCGCCTGTACAAGTGCAAGTACTGCATCTACAACCACTACCAGCGCAGTCTGGTGACGCGACACGTGCGTGACAAACACCCGATGCTTCCGCTGGCAGACGTGGTGGTGCGAGAGCCCGACGACGACGAGGCGTCGCGGCCGCTCTTCAAGCCGTGGCGCTGCGGACTGTGCAAGTACCAGGCGCTGCTGCAGCTCGAGGTGGTCGAACATGTGGCGACTGGGCACGGCCTGAGCCGCAACCAGTTCAAGTGCGGCCTGTGCTCGATGCGCAGCTCCGTGCGTAGCGAATTCGACGAGCACTTCGCCACCAAGCATCCCGACGAGCCGGTCTCGGTGTTCGCCCTCTACTACAAGGTGGAGGAGGCGGACGCAGAGGCGGCGGCCAAGGTGGAGCAGTGCCAGCCCATCTGGCAGCGCAACAACCCGCGCCGCATTCGTCACGTCCGCGGCATCCTCATCGAGGAGGTGAAGGTGGCGCGCGGCTCGCCGATGAAACGCAAACTGTCCACCGGCCAGAAGTCGCCAGTGAAGAGGCCCGCGCTACCGTCACCACCGGCTGGAGCGCTGGCCAGCCGAAACGGCTCGAAGGGGGCGGCTGGACAGGCGCGTCGTAGGGCCATCAAGAGGGCGCTCCGACACACGACTTCCGGGAGGATGCGGCAGCCGGCGGCGCCGGAGGTCCCGGAGCCTAAACCTGATCATGAGCATACGTCGGAGCCTGACCAGACGTCGGAGCCGGAGCCGGAGTCTCCACGGAGGGAGGAGCCGACTGAGGCCGACGGTGCGGCCCCGGCGCGGGCCACGGACGATGAGTTCTTATCGCTGTTCGAGTCCAAGTCGTGCGAGCTCGGGCCCAAGGGTGACGCGGACGTGGATGCGAAGCAGTTCGTCTGTCCCAGGTGTAAGAAGTACCGGACCAGGCGGAAACGCGACTTCACCATGCATCTGTACAAGGAGCTTGGCTACAACAGGTGAATCACAAACGTCCGGGAATGACATTAATTTCATTAGACATAAAACGTTCGGGGGCTTTACTGCAGTTTTGATTCGCGCGGATATTGCTTCCTCATTTATATGACTAGTCTGTCGTGCTCAAAACATTCATGATGAATTGGAGGTCCTGACTGCTGGCTAACTCAGTCTATGATAGCTCAGTCCGTGATAATTTAAGCACAGTACGTGATTACTCAGTCCGTGATACCTCAGGTCGTGATCTCATTTCGTGAACAATAAGTTGTGATCACTGAGATAGTGATAGCTCAGTCCGTAGCAACTGGTATCGTAATAGCTCAGTCCACAACTGATTCATACTAACTCAGTCCGTGACAATTGATATCGTAACAGCTCAGTCCACGAGAACTGAGTTCGACATAGCTCGACCCGTGACAATTCATAACGTCATAGCTCAGTCAACGACAAATGAGATAATAATAGCTCAGTCCGTGACGATTTTTATCGTAATAGCTTAATGCACAACAACTGAGATCGTAGCAGCTCAGTCCGTGGCAGCTGAGATCGTAATAGTGCAGTCCGTGACAACTGATATCTCATATCGTGCTAGCTCAGTCCACGACAACTGAGATCGTTATAGCTCATTCCGGGACAACTGAGATTGTTATAGCTCAGTCCGTGACAGCTAATATCGTACTAGCTCAGTCCACAACTGAGATCGTTATAGCTCAATCCGTGACAACTGAGATCGTTATGGCCCAGTCCGTGACAACTGATATCGTAATAGCTCAGTCCACGATAACTGAGATCGTTACGTTATAGCTCAATCCGTGACAACTGAGATCGTTATAGCTCAGTCAGTGACAACTGATATCGTACTAGCTCAGTCCACGACACCTGAGGTCGTTATAGCTCGATCCGTGTTAACTGAGATCGTTATAGCTCAGACTGTGACAATTGAAATCGTAATAGCCCAGTCCACGACACCTGAAATCGTCATAGCTTAGTCTGTAATGTACCGTTTGCTGGCCAGCTCAGTCCGTGATAGCTCAGATCGTGATCGTTCAGTCTGTGACGCCGCTGTGAGCTGGATGGCTCTGGCTGACGATTCACACCTTCGTCTTGTGCTTCAGGTTCGTGTGCGGCAACTGCGGCCACATGAACACGTCGATGGCCAACATGAAGCGTCACCACGAGATGATGCATAAGGTGGCCCGGCTGCCCGAGGCCATCGTGCCGCTGACTCCCGACTCGGCGCAGGAAGAGTGGGTGAGTAACGTGATTGATTTCACTATCCTCTCCTCTGTATTTGCTCCACTTCCTTTTCCTCTCTCACCTCTCTCTCTCTCTCTCTCTCTCTCTCTCTCTCTCTCTCTCTCTCTCTCTCTCTCTCTCTCTCTCTCTCTCTCTCTCTCTCTCTCTCTCTCCGTCCTCCTCTCCCCCTCTCTCCTCTCTCTCACTGTCTCTCTCCCTTCATCCCCATCTCTACCTTTCCGCCTTTCTTCCTCTATTTTTCTCAATCCCCCTCCTTTGCCGCAAGATTTCGGCTCTGGAAGGAGCTCCGCGCCTGGTGAGTATGTCATATTTTCCCCTTTACTGTGTTTGATTGACATAGCACGCATTTTATGGTGTTGTTTAGTCACCGGAGTTATCATCAAATAATGCCTGCTCTTTTTTGTTACACGACGTTTTCACATACATCGCACTTATCAGTAATTATTAATTACATTAGTAGCTTGCTTTCAAGATAAGCTTTCGCCGCTGCCTGCCTTCAGTGGGTTGGTGGTTGCGTAGACATGTTTGCCATCTTAGATTGTCCGTTCGATCTATCATTGGACTAAAATTGATTTGTTTATAATCAGAGGTGCACTCTTACTTCAGTAACCGATACCTATACTTTCTCTGGGATGCTATGGTCCTTGCAGTTATTTGGTTACTTATCTAATAGTTACCATAGCTGTCAGTTTTGGTGCTAATTTGTTTTCGCTCTGGAGCATTAAATTGATGTAGCATATTCAAGTAATTTATCATCTTATTTTTCGTCGGTACACGAACTCATATCAGACAGATGGATGTGGCAGAAAATGGGCTGAGAATGGTCGTGTATTCCCAATGGATCATCTCTTGTATCTTTGTGATTACGGTTGCAATGCGTTTCGTCTGCAGATTGAGGCGGTGCTGGACCACCAGGAGCGTCAGATCGAGGGCAGGCCGCCCGCCGACGAGGAGCCCAAACAGGAGAAGCAAGAGGCCGGGCCCGAACCTAAGCCCGATGAAGCGGCGCCGCCGACAGCAGAGCCGGAGCCGGTTCCGCAGACGGCGGCTGAGGAAGAGCCGAAGTCTGAGGCCGAGGCGTCACCGAGGCGGGTGGTGCCTCCGCCCGCGGCGGCGGCCGAGTCGCCGTCGGCGCCCATCTACAAGTGCGGCTTCTGCGACGAGCGCGGCACCATTCCGCAGCTGCGCGGTCACTGGAAGGCGCAGCACAGCAACCAGCGGTTCAAAATCATCAAACAGATGCAGCGGTACGCCTGCAACCATTGCTCGTTCATGACGGCCAAGCTGCCCCTGCTCCGCGCCCACCTGACAAACGTGCACCCGGGTGCACCTATTACCGACTTCACGACACGTGCGCACGATCGCCAGGTCCGCTACAAGTGCAGATGGTGCAAGGAGACCCGTTTCGCAACTCGAGCTATTGGTGAAGCGCACCACGCAGAGAAACATCCACAGCTGGAGCTCAAGGTGGAATCGTACACGGCACGTAAAGCGGAGCCGAGCGTCGCGAGTGCGCCACTGTCGTCACACCCGATCGAGCCACCTTCTGGTGACTCTGATGCCGGTGATCTGAGGTCTGAGAGTGCGTCTGTCGTGGACGCCCCAGCGGCGGCGGCCGGGCCGTCGTCGACACCTCCAGCTGCCCCGCCGGGCTCGTTCCGGTGTCCCCTGTGCAGCTACACGGGCTCCCGCGTAACCTACGTTGACGCCCATCTACTATCGCACTATAAACGCTACAAGTGCGAGACGTGTGGCTACGTTGACGGCATGCGCACCGTCGTGTCTCGCCACCACGCCCGAAAGCATCCGGGCGAGCCGGAGCGGGTCGTGCTGCTCGACCACCTGGAGCGCGAGTACCAGCAGATGAAGCGATCTGTGCGCGACCAGTCGGGCCCGGCAGCGGCACGCGGCGCCTCGCCGGCCCGCTCTGACATCACTACCGGCAGCCGCGGCAGTCGCGGCACCAAACGCTCCACCGACGGCGTCAGTCCGGCCAGTAAGAGGCCGCCCGGCCCTGCGTCGGCGACCCGATCCACGGGCCAGTCTCCCCGCGGTGTGGCGCGCAAGTCGACCGCTGGCGCGCGGCTCAGTTACGCGCGCGTCGGCCGCGGCGTGGCGCTGAAATCGACAGGTGGCGCACGCCGCATCGCTGCGCCCTACTCCTTCTACGGCACTAAGCCGCCGCCAGTGAGCAGCTTTTCGGAGGTGACCACGCAGCTGACGCTGGGTGGCGCCACGTCGATGCGTGTCAACGTGCCAACTCTGGCGCAGATCGTCAGACTGTACCCGCGCTGCTGCGTCGTGGACCTGCGCCAGAAGCCGCTGGCGTTATGACAGGTCGCCGCGGCGGCTGGGGCGCGGGCACGGGACGACCTGTGACCGTCCCTGTGTTCAGGGTGGGTGTGGGGAGTGTTGGATCTGACCTGCGGCGTGGGAGGTGTCCGATATCGCGTGTTGTGTGAATTGTCCAGGGTCGGTCCCACGGGTGGTACCGCTGGGTCGTGGCAGCGCCGGCACCGACCGGCCGACCGGCCGCCATTGTTGCATCTAGTCCAGCGCCGCTCAGGGGTCGACCGAGTCGGTCAGCGCTGGTTTTATTATGGCTGTGAGCGCCGTCTCTTGTCGATCATTGAGCTTCAATACATACCACATTTGTAAGAAGCGCTCGCCTTTGCATCCTCACCATAAACTTGGCCACGCAATGCAGTTACATATTTGAATGGTATTATGGGTGAGGGGTTTCCCATGATGGCATGGGGCTAGATGCTATCCGACCTATGCATAGATCAAAATAATGACACGTTTTATATAATTCTTGATTACAGTAATTTTAAGGGGCTAGTAGGTACAGGGCAAAACAACGTCGCCCGTAACTTTGGGTCTGGCCACTGATGGCTCGTGTTCAAGGTAACATTCGAACTGACGGCAAGCTTGTTATATAAGCGAGTCGGCAGACACTCAAACGGCATTCAGCTGAAAGGCGAAAACATTAAAAACCAGTAGCCAGTGGAACTGCACATGCCGTGACGTGGGGCAGGCTGCTGGCCGACTTCGTGCCATTATTTATCGTCGCACTTACTTTTGACACCCTTATATGTAAAGCTAATGAGACGACAAAACACATGACATGATAGGCGGCACGACGAACGCGCTCTGTGTCCTGCTCAGAGTAGGTAGGCAGAGGCCTGGTGTTGCCCGACCACGGCAGTTTTACCACGGCGGATTCTGGACCTTTCCATGCGCGCTCCCGCTAGCACAACACGCCAAAGCTGGTGCTAATTAATCCTCGCCGTCCATTTAGGGAGCTTAGCTGTGGAGCTGTCAGTCACACGGCCGTGATTCCGTGAAGCCAGACCGTTGTTACCTTTTTAGTTACATATCTGTTTATTTTTTTGGCAAAAGGAAAGCAATGGCGAGACTTTTTGGAGGATGGAAGGGAGAACAATTCATGGCCCATGTCTAATAAGTTGGTTGACGTGCGGCAGAGGCTGTTTAGAAGCAAGGGGCGACGCAAATCTCGCATTTCGACATTTTAGCGGGGGAGGGGAAGAGGTCGAACAAACAAACGTGCAACTGAAGAGGTGCATGGCTCTAAATGCCCCGGATCCATCAGTACATTCACCATGCGTGATAAGGACAGCAAAGCGTGCCCATGAAGCTAAATCGCATTCGCGCTTCATCCGTAAATTAAATCTTTCAAATCGGGGTCTCATCAGTGCCGTTATACGCTATCCGTCTTGGGCAGTTGTCCTGTGTCCAACCAATGTGTCGGCGTTCCTAGTTTCACATGGACACGATTTTTGCTGATAGCGACAACTGGGTCATGACTGGACCACCAGCGTGACGGCGGACCCTTTGCTTGTCGCTGTTGCCTCATACTCGCGACCTTCGCGTCCTCAAGTGTCCGGGTGTGGCCCAGCGATGGCGATCCAGCCTGTCCGGTGGAATGGGGTCGAGTCGGCCTATTAAAAAGTCATCCCGCAACATCCGCTCTATAACATGCACAATCAGGACAGACAGTCCGGTGTAAAATGTCCGTGAACTTAGCGACGTATACGTATACGTATTCAGCGACGAATTCCAAATCACTTCAGATTCATGGCATGGGTTAAGTTGACCATGCTGAACACGAATATGACATTTATTTTAACTTTTGAGCTGATCTTCATGGTTAAAATCCGGTTTAAATGACAGGGAACCGCATAACGTCGCGAAAATAAAAACCCACGAATTCCAAAGTATATGCAAAATGTAGAGCTCATCCAGATCTAACGTCCGTGGAAGAATCCAAGCTCGTGGCTCTTTAACTTCATGGTTAAAATCCGGTTTAAATGACGGGGAACCGCATAACGTCGCGAAAATAAAAACCCACGAATTCCAAAGTATGTGCAAAATGTAGAGCTCATCGAGATCTAACGTCCGTGGAAGAATCCAAGCTCGTGGCTCTTTAACTTCATGGTTAATATCTGGTTAAAATGACGGGGAACCGCATAACGTCGCGAAAATAAAAACCCACGAATTCCAAAGTATATCCAAAATGTAGAGCTAATCCAGTTCTAACGTCCGTGGAAGAAACCAAGTTCGTGGCTCTTTACTTTCATGGTTAATATCTGGTTTAAATGACGGGGAACCGCATAACGTCGCGAAAATAAAAACCCACGATTTCCAAAGTATATCCAAAATGTAGAGCTCATCCAGATCTAACGTCCGTGGAAGAATCCAAGCTCGTGGCTCAACGCCTTCATGGTTAAAATCCGGTTTAAATGACGGGGAACCGCATAACGTCGCGAAAATAAGAACCCACGAATTCCAAAGTATGTGCAAAATGTAGAGCTCATCCAGATCTAACGTCCGTGGAATAATCCAAGTTCGTGGCTCTTTAACTTCATGGTTAATATCTGGTTTAAATGACGGGGAACCGCATAACGTCGCGAAAATAAAAACCCACGAATTCCAAAGTATGCGCAAAATGTAGAGCTCATCCAGATCTAACGTCCGTGGAAGAAACCAAGTTCGTGGCTCTTTAACTTCATGGTTAATATCTGGTTTAAATGACGGGGAACCGCAAAACGTCGCGAAAATAAAAACCCACGAATTCCAAAGTATATGCAAAATGTAGAGCTCATCCAGATCTAACGTCCGTGGAAGAATCCAAGCTCGTGGCTCAACGCCTTCATGGTTAAAATCCGGTTTAAATGACGGGGAACTGTAAAACGTCGCGAAAATAAAAACCCACGAATTCCAAAGTATGTGCAAAATGTAGAGCTCATCCAGATCTAACGTCCGTGGCAGAATCCAAGCTCGTGGCTCTTTAACGTCATGGTTAAAATCCGGCTTAAATGACGGGGAACCGCATAACGTCGCGAAAATAAAAACCCACGAATTCCAAAGTATGTGCAAATTGTAGAGCTCATCCAGATCTAACGTCCGTGGAAGAATCCAAGTTCGTGACTCTTTAACTTCATGGTTAATATCTGGCTTAAATGACGGGGAACCGCATAACGTCGCGAAAATAAAAACCCACGAATTCCAAAGTATGTGCAAAATGTAGAGCTCATCCAGTTCTAACGTCCGTGGAAGAAACCAAGTTCGTGGCTCTTTAACTTCATGGTTAATATCTGGTTTAAATGACGGGGAACCGCATAACGTCGCGAAAATAAAAACCCACGAATTCCAAAGTATGTGCAAAATGTAGAGCTCATCCAGATCTAACGTCCGTGGCAGAATCCAAGCTCGTGGCTCTTTAACCCTATTAGTGGCAGGGGGGGGGGTTGTTTTTATCCACCCCTCAGGTTTTTCGGGAATATCTCCGAAACCGCTGAAGCTACGATGCTGAAATTTTCTGACTTTTCTTAAAACTAAATTGGGCACATTCCCTGAAAATTTCAAGTTCATAACTTTACCAGGGGCGGCTCCAGAGCACTGGGAATTGGGGGGTCCTATTCGTGAAGCGAGTCATTTGGGCGAAGATCACGATGCTGCACCAGTTTTACGAACAGTGAATGAAAGGTATCATGTGATAACATATACAAAGTTATTGTGCATCCTCTTTTGACACGTTTTTGCTGTAATAGGCGGATCCAGGCGTCCAAAAAGGGGGGTTATTTTTTACCTCCCAACATAGGTGCCCTGACACCGCCTATGCATGACCAATACAATTTTAGTCGTTCTCTCATAAGAAAATTGTAACATAACAAGACCATTGCCACCCTTTTTAGAAACAGTACCAACAAAAACCTTATTTACTATACTTTTTGTGTACCCCCAATCTCAATGATCTGTATCCGCCTATGATTTTTGAAAATGCATATTTTTAGGATCCATGTGAATTCCTGGTTCATTCTCTATCGATCGGCAAAAGTTGCGTTAAGATTGGTTCAGAAACCTGGCCGTGATAAACAGTCTAAAATGTATCTGCAATTTGCCCTTTTTTGCCCCCCTGTACCCCCCTATTGACATTTTTTAATTTTACTTTTTTTAGAAATGTAGATCTCGTTGAGCCAAATCGAATGCCGTTTGAATTTTGAAAATCGGCCCGTTAGATCTCGAGATATCAAGGGGGGTCGTAAACAGCCCCCCCCCCCTGCCACTAATATGGGGTAGCCAGGAGCCTGCCACTAATAGGGTTAACTTCATGGTTAAAATCCGGTTCAAATGACGGGGAACCGCATAACGTCGCGAAAATAAAAACCCACGAATTCCAAAGTATGTGCAAAATGTAGAGCTCATTTTACATTTTGCACAATTTTTGGAATTCGTGGGTTTTATTTTCGCGACGTTATGCGGTTCCCCGTCATTTAAACTGGATTTTAACCATGAAGTTAAGGAGCCACGAGCTTAGATTCTTCCACGGACGTTAGATATGGATGAGCTCTACATTTTGCACATACTTTGGAATTAGTGGGTTTTTATTTTCGCGACGTTATGCGGTTCCCCGTCATATAAACTGGATTTTAACCGTGAAGGCGTTGAGCCACGAGCTTGGATTCTTCCACGGACGTTAGATCTGGATGCGCTCTACATTTTGCACATACTTTGGAATTCGTGGGTTTTTATTTTCGCGACGTTATGCGGTTCCCCGTCATTTAAACCGGATTTTAACCATGAAGTTAAAGAGCCACGAGCTTGGATTCTGCCACGGACGTTAGATCTGGATGAGCTCTACATTTTGCACATACTTTGGAATTCGTGGGTTTTTATTTTCGCGACGTTATGCGGTTCCCCGTCATTTAAACCGGATTTTAACCATGAAGGCGTTGAGCCACGAGCTTGGATTCTTCCACGGACGTTAGATCTGGATGAGCTCTACATTTTGCATATACTTTGGAATTCGTGGGTTTTTATTTTCGCGACGTTATGCGGTTCCCCGTCATTTAAACCAGATATTAACCATGAAGTTAACGAGCCACGAACTTGGTTTCTTCTACGGACGTTAGATCTGGATGAGCTCTACATTTTGCGCATACTTTGGAACTCGTGGGTTTTTATTTTCGCGATGTTATGCGGTTCCCCGTCATTTAAACCAGATTTTAACCATGAAGGCGTTGAGCCACGAGCTTGGATTCTTCCACGGACGTTAGATCTGGATGAGCTCTACATTTTGCATATACTTTGGAATTCGTGGGTTTTTATTTTCGCGACGTTATGCGGTTCCCCGTCAT